TAAAACGATATTTCATTATGATAGTGTTAAACCTGTGTTGATTTGTCAATTTAAAAAAATGAAATACTAAATTTTTAAAAAATTTTCAATGCTAAAGAGGAAACCAACTTGAAACTACTTCATGGCGTTTATTTACGTTTTTGAAGTGTATTTCTATTCTAATAATAAATCTCGAGCTTTTAAATATCTATAAAGAACAAACAAGCTGGGCATAGTTTAATAGTATTGATCTATTTCAATTCTTTCTGTGATCAAGTTATAATATATTAATAATTATATTAAATGCAGTATAAAATTCCCTGCCTCCCTTTGGAACAAACCTTTTTCTTCTGCTCTGTCGTTCTGACATCACTACGGACATTAGCCCAGGGGACGTCCCCGGGCCACCATACTGGTCGACACTCCACTTTTCCCCAGCCCGGTTTACTTCGACCCGTAGAAAATTTCAGCATCTCAGGGATAAATGTTCGCAACTGTGCCTGGAAAGAAAGCATAGTCTTAAATTCCACATCCATACTGATGCCTAAAACTTCTCCTCCAACTGAACATGATTTGATTTATTCTATATCACACAACATAAGGAGGAAAATATATTCCACAGATAAGTAATGGCTTTATCATGTTCATGTTACGAATTGTCTTTATTTGTACATGTAGTTGTGCGTCTCAATTTTCAGGTACATGTATCTACAAAAGGTTCTCCGCTTAATACTACAAAAAATTGCTCCAAAAAAGGGGGTTTCTTTAAGAAAGAATTATCATTGTCATATTCTTTTAACTAATTGTAGGCAAGTTGTGGCCTGTATGAATTCATACTTGTGTCATTTTGTCCACTGAGGTAGGGATGCCATCTATGGACAAGGGAGGTAACTCCTGCATGCCTGTGACGTCCTGCTGTTGTGGTACTTGTTCTGCCAGAGTGGATTCTAAATCCTGTAACACGACCGATTTACAGTTCCTTATCTGAAAAAAAAAATTACATGTCATGAAAATTAATATGATGTATCTCATATTATAACGGGTAAATTTTCTAAACATTACTAGTAAGTTAAGAGCATATTTACACAATACCTTCAAAATAGATGAAAATAAGATGTTCAACTCCGAACATCTGACTTATCTGTTTCAAATTCTTCAGAAAATTTTGTTAACCACTGAACAATATGAAACATACAAGGATACCTTTCCAAAATAAAATGTTTGAACAACTGCACCTGAAGAATTTATATTTTCACATGTCAAAATCTTATATTTGTTAAAAGTTGGAAAGAATTTAATCATTTTAGACATATATATGATCTTAAAGAAATATACCAATTTGAAAGGAAGTCAATATGATAAAAAAAAAAATCACACACCACAGTTTCTAAGGGCTGGGAGCCAAACACTTTGTAGTTGCTGGAATTCTGGGATTTTCCTGGGGTACAACATAAGACGACAGCCTGCTGTCCTACTCGAGTCGTGTATTCCTCTATACAAGCCTTCAGCTTCCTATCAGCAGTCAGAATTACGCAAATCAAATACAATATAGATATTAAAAAAAAGGATCTTCATGGTTAGCGAACAATCAGCATATCTGAACACAGGTAATTAATGAAGACAGAGACTGAAAATTTTTTTCTGAATACACAAGTGGACTCTGTAGTTCTTTGAAATTTTTTTTCTTTACTTTTGTATAGTTCTTTGAAGGTTTTATATATATCATAAAAATTTTGTCAAAAACAGATAAATACCATTTTGTTTTTGTTGCGAATTTGGTCTACATTTATCTTAATGACTAGCTGCTATACATGTGCATGCAAATGAATTTTTTCATAACTAAGAAATCTGATGCTATCTTTTACAGTATAAAAAGTCACTTTGTCAAGGAAGAGAAGTACAACTTTTATTACCTGAGCAGTCTGGTTTGTTGCCGCTTTCGTATAGAGGGATTTGTCTCGAACGCATGAGGTCGCTTGTGTTTTTTACCACTGGCTATTGCGGCTGCCGCTGCCATGCCTATTGTACCTACAAACATTTAATAATACATCACATTTTGTTCAGCATACTTGTCTTGACCTTAATTATTGAACCGACTGTTTGAACGCCATTCCGTAGATTCATTACATTTTACTGTAGATCATTACAACATACTGTTAAATCATTATATTTTTTGGGAGTTGATGTTTTATGAAATTTGTGGATACTCCTTACAATCAATACTGATATTTACACTGTATCTTTGATGAAGACCTTCCCCCCTCCCCCAAAAAATAACCTCTAAATACATTGTATCTCCCAATCCCTCAAAAATTTTCCCCTTCTTGGGTGTCTATTGAACAGTGCAATAATTCATTATAGAACTGGGCTAAACATTATTGTCCAGTACCAGTTGAAAATTTACTCAGACAAGTGAATTTCTGATTAGACAAGTAGTTTTTCTATAAGGAAAACTTTTAAAAAAATGAGAATAAGATAACTTAAAGCTGATGTCAACTTTCATTGGAGATTTGATATTGATTGAAGTAAGTAAATTTATAGTTCCCCTTGATCCTCATTGATCATTGTAAAACTCAATCAGGATCAAACTTTGTGATTTGCTCATAACTTTCAATTTTGAACTTTGATAGTAGTGGCTAGCCTGGAATTGATGAATTTCTGGGTATTAGTATCAGGTCAGCAAAAAAACTGAAACAACAAATAAATGTTTAATCTTAACACTTTATCAGTTTAAGTACAAAGTAGACTCAGTGATTGGATCACACACCTTTGAAATTTTCAGATAATACAATGTGTTTTAAGTAATCAATTAGTCCTCTATCAAAAAATTCTTAGGCAGTGAGTCAAAAAATATGTTCAAACAAGCAATTGATTTCCATGGACATTTGTCCAAATGGACAAGTTAAGGGGAAAAAGTTAACGTTGAGCCCTGTAGAATATTTAATACATGGGTAAAGCATCATTTTCCTATTCTGTATTATACATGGGTAAATGCAGAATACAAAAATGATGCTTTAAATACATGTAATACATGTATTATGATGTATAGTTTCTAGTATATAATGCTCATATACTTGTAAATCCATACTAACTACCTGAATGAGCTAACTGTGCTGTTACTTCATCTGTCATGCCATTGGTTCCCAGCAAGTCCGAAGCATCAAACGTGCTCTCGGGTGAGCTTGGCTCGCTCATATCATCACTTATCATCCCCGAGTTCATGGAGGTAGTCATGGTGAAGCTACCCTGTATGGCGCCCCCCGTGGAGACCAGGTTGTTCATCATTGGAGCTGGCAAAGTCTGTCAGCCTGGATCCAATGTGAGGTAGAGAAGGCTGTGTAAGTTGTGGAACCTGAAATATAAAATTCACAAATGATACTGATATGAGCTATTTATAACTGTATAGATCTTGAATTCCTGTGAACTTGGAGATTTTTGTGGGTTCTTTTGAGCTGCTATTTGTCCTGGGATAAGCCTGGGAAGATTTTAAGAGAAACACTGACTACAGCATTGTTATAGTGCTGAATAACCATTAACATTAAAGAGCATATAAACTGTCATTGTACATACTGAACATGTATGATCTCAAAGCAAATTTCAGTACACGATATCAACCATTGCAATCTAAAAGTGCCAGGCTTTGTCGTCAAAATAATTACACATGAGTATAAAAGATTACACTAGGATAAAATCGTGACAAGGGGAGGTAATTACATTTTCAAAATGGCTATATATTGGCAAGTTCATGTTCATCCACACGTTTTCTCTTTTACTCGCTACCCTATTTGAACGTGACTCGTTCATAATCATTGTTTGTAAACTTTACGAGCACTGCGTGCGCAGGGACACGGGCAGGTGATGGGATTTTGTGGTGCGACTGCGCCACACTCGAGCTTGCGCGAACGGGGGATAGAAAAAGACAGGTGCGACGAACATAGAAGGCCAGAATAATGCAGCCTACGATCTTTATTGTCAAATTAGGACTGTAAAATTCATAACTTCACGGAACTAAAGCTTAAAGCTGACAGAATTTAACAGGGAAATTAAAAATAAAAATCTGTCCATTTTACATATTTTCGATGGACAGGCAATGCTATCTGCGTCTGCGCGGACCAAGTGTTGTTATAGTGGTCATTTGCCATTAATCCAGACTCTCTTTTTTGTAAATAAATTGAGAAAAATGTTTACTTAACAACATTTACAAAAATCTCACCAGAAAGGCTTATTTTCTCGAGAAGGATTCAAGAAGATTTTGTTGTTTACTAAACAGGAAGTAGATTTCTCGTTCTTTAGAAAAACGCCATCTACAACCTCTGTAGCGCGGGAAAAATTTGAATAATGACGTATGCCAGGGACCTAAGTATATGTATATATATACTTATTATACTTACTTACTTACTTACTTACTTATAACTTATAAAATCAGATCACATGGGATAAATGACATGAGAAGATCAGTTTTGCAAACTTAACATTATACCGCTGATGTAAAATTCTGATTAGTAGGATGACCCGCTGTATAGAGCTATCAATTTCTGTATATTATAAAAAGAGTCAATGTATTTTCTCAAGACATGGATTGAATTGTCTTGTGAAATGACCCTAGCTTTACTAAATGGATTTCAAAATAGTTCTCGGAAAGAGTTGTGCAATAAAAGTTTATTTTTAGGTATAGTGCAGTGGCGGATCCAGGCATTTCATTACGGGGGGGGGGCAGTAGAAGGCAGTTGGTTGGGGGGGGGGCTGCATTGAAGCCCCCAGTGGGTCCAAGGCAAAGTCTTGGTGGGGGTCCGGGGGCTTCGGAAACTGACGAATTCTAATAAATAAGAGGGGTTTTCCCTTGATTTTAGGATAACAAAATTTCAAAAAAAAGAAAATTCAAACGCCGCGGGGGGGGGGGGGGGGGCACGCCCCGCGCTGGATCCGCCTTTGTATTGGGTCTTTACTCCATGTTTATGATAACCAATGCAAAGAAGGTAATACATATTTTTACACATAATTTTTACATATAATATTTCAAAAAAATGGATCGAGCGAAGATCCAATCATATGGAAAAATTGTTTTTTAGTAGGAAAACTTGATCATTTTTTCCCTCTTTGGTGTATGTATGCTATTTCATGGATGAAAATTTTCAATCTTTGTGAGATTAATTGTTGCGATTTGTGGAGATTTAGCATAAAGACAAAGTATACGTTAATGTTAAATGAAATATCAAAGAAAATTTGTCATAATTGAAATTAAATTTAGATTAAAAAGTTGCCTCGCTCGCTAATTAAAATTTAAAATCAGAATACTGCATGCTTTTGTAATTAAGATTAAAAAATGCCTCGCTCGCTAAATAAAATTTGTGCAAGGTTAAAGTTTTTGCGGACAAAGAGACAGACAGACAGACAGGGCAAAAACTATATGCCCCTGAATCTTCGATTACGGGGGCATAAAAATAACCCTTACCCTACAGTTCTTATTTTATGCCCCTTATCGAAGATTCAGGGTATATAGTTTTTGCCATGTCCGTCCGTCTGTCTGTTTGTCCGCAAAAACTTTAACATTGCCAATAATTTTTGATTGGTTGGGGCTATGGCTTTCATATTTCACATGTGTATTCCTTGTGATAAGACCTTTCTTTTGGTATCATCATATTGACTTTTTGTCCTTGACCTTGGAGTTTGACCCAGTTTTGCAAAATTCTACCTAACTTAAACCTTGGCCATTGGTACTAGGGTTTTCAAAGTTCACATGTGTAATCCTTGTGACAAGACTTTCCTTAGTCTGAATACCAGCAACTTTGACCCTTTGACCTTGACCTTGGAGTTTGACCTACTTTTGGAAAACTTCAACCTTGGCCATAACTTTCGAACAGTTGGTGCTAGGGCTTCAGTTCAAATTTAAGACGTCTATTCCTTGTGACAAGTCCTACCTTTGAACACCAACAATTGTACGTAATCAATTGACCTTGGAGTTTGACCTACTTTTGAAAAACTTTAACCTTGGCCATAACTTTTGAACGATTGGTGTTACGGCTTTCATTTTTCACATGTGTATTACTTGTGAGAAGGCCCTTCCTTGGGCACCATTAATTTTGACCATTTGACCTTGACCAGACTTCTTTTTGAAAAACTTTAACCTTTTCCATATTTATTCAATGATTGCTGCTAGGGCTTTCATTTTCATATATTTCTCGAGAAAAGACCTTACTTTGGATACCAACATATTATTTGATTTGTATTTGAGAAAGTTTAACCTTTGCTATAAGTTGCCATACGCGGGCATCAGTGTTTCATAAACACATCTTTTTTAATCTTTTCTTTTTTTGCTTCCGACGCCTGAAACTGTTTTGAGTTTATGAAAAATATAAATAATTGTCTAGAACCCACCTCCCATCCTATATGTATTTACATCTGCCACTTCCTGTAGATAGACTTTTTCTACTGAATTCCATGCATGTGCTTCTCAATGGCAGGAGCAAATTAATACAGTGCTCACTTTATTTGACTTTTTGCTTTGTTCTCTTTTCGTTTCTTTTCTCTTTTTTTCTATATTCTGTTCGTAATTTACATGTATTCTTTTCCTATGTCATTACATGTATAATAGTACGTACGTGTATCTGTTATCAACAGATCTATATATAGATGTAACATTACACTGTACATGTAGTATCTTCAGGCATGTAGTATCGGCCGGGGGGGGGGGGTATTCAGACACTGGCGAAAACATAACGTTGGAATGTCATCCTATTCAGTGAACTCTATTCCATTCTTATTCCATTTTAATGCAGTTCTTGATAATGAAGGCACGATGAAATCTAACTTTATCGAGGTAGTCCTGGGTATCACATCGTATAGACAGAAAAACAAGAAAAGTAGATATTAAAACACAAATCAATATGATGCAAGTGAGTTGTTCATTGCAAATTATTTACAGACCCGTAGAACGCCGGGGGGGGGGGGGGATCGAGGTGCATATTAATAATTTTCCTAATAGAGGATACATTATACTGAACATTATTTTCTACTTCTTTGCAGAGTATAAGTTTTTTTTTATTAATGCACTTCCCTGTGGGCATTAAATACGAAGATATAAACAGAGCCTGGCTTTGGGCAGCTAAGCAATTCCTATAAATACCCTCTCCATACAAAAAAGTCATTTTTAAATTGTATGGCCGTAGGTCCGCCCCCCCCCCCCCCCCAATAATTTTACTGATATGTAGAATACTATAGAAAATATAACTACTATATGCTTGTGCCTCCTAAATAAAAAGGGTGCCCCTCTTTATATGCCCCTCTTTTTTTTTCTTTGTCAAGGAATGTTGGTAGTTGATAGCCCCCCCCCCCCCCCGCCCCCAACTGAAAATGTATTGTTGTGCCCCCTCAAAGTGAATTTGCTTCCGACGGGCCTGGATTGATGCATTTGCAGACATCTCATAAACAGGCTATCTAGAATATATGCTTCATGAAGTTCATGTGTATTAAACTACACACATATAGACACAATCTACATGCACATGTACTTAGACACAATCTACATGTACAAGTCAAATAACATGTACTGCATTATTCACTTTTGAATGGATATATCATATCCAGAGAATTCGTCTCAAATAGTAGTGTAGAGTATAAAAATAAAATATAGTTTCCGTATTTTAGAGAAGTATCTTGAAGGGTCTCAGAATAAAAGAATTTGAAGAAAATGAATGAATGAATGAATGAATGTCCTATTGAACCCAATAGAAATTATGCGACTGTTCACGATAAATATTTTGAAAAACCTGTACATATATCCTCCCCTAAGAAATCCATTCGGCAAACCTCGGCTGATTCCGTCACCTGAGGTACGAATCGGCCGAGGTGTGCCGAGTGCTAGAAATCAACTAAAAAAGGAATGAATTTCCAGAGAACGGGTTAACAACTAACCACCTACCTTGTTTAACATCCGGGTACCTTGTTGCTAGCAAACAATATGGCGGGCTGTATGTACTTTCCAACTTGAACGATTTTATTTTTGCAACGTGTTTTAGTTAAATTTCATTTGAGAAAATGGCAAACATGGCAGCTTCAATGAAGGGCCAAAAGCCCGAACTGAAGTTTTATCTTCGTTCGAACAAGCTTCCAGATATATACGAGGTGGGTGCAGGTAGACTGGGACCAGTTGTCTAAATGGGATATAATAGCCGTTTGAAACCCAACTGGATATTAATTTATAGTGCGAAAACATGAACATAATTTATTTAGCTCTGAAAATTGTAAATTCACGAAAAGTGCATAAAAAGCAACTATTTTGATAAACCCATTTTTCTGTGTCCCTGGTGTTTGGGACATAAATTGATCCCCCAGAAGATCCAAAACTTTTTGGGAAGATTAATCTTACAAACTTTAGGTTAAAAAAAAAAAAGCTTGCTTGTCAAAAGTTGTTGCACTCAATTTTAATTTATGCCAATTAAAAAAAATACCTAGTGTGATTTTTCCATTTTTTTAATTTTTTTTTTTTTTTTTTTTTTTTTTTGCACTGTTAACTTTATATCCCATTTGTGACGTATCTCAAATGAGCTGTTATAACCCATTTGCGCTATTGGTCACAACCTGTTTAATAATGATAGCATCATGCCACAATATTAACAACATATATTTCTTCAATATTCGTAAGATATATTGATAAAAATCATAACAGTTGTGTTCATTATATTAAATGTAAAACCATTCTGCAGTACACAATCCAAAATTAGATCTTCATGTACAACATGTACTTTTCTTTTCATTGTATTTGTCATAAATGACACAGAACAGAATAAAATTCATTGAATTATTTTTTCCTCATCTTGTCTACTTTTGCAGAAATGGAAATTTGGATTTACATTTCTTCATCATGTTCATTTAGAAGTTTGATATTGTTACAGGCACTCCTGACTGGATTAGCAGTAATGTGTCCTGATGACCCCCTTCAGTTTATCCTGGACAAGCTCAGGGCCCTGAAAGAAAATGGAATGGATGAACTCAATTGGTATTGAGATATTCCAAATGTTTGAATAGATAACATATAGATTTGTACTCTGTCACAATAAATATTCAGTTATTTCAAATTACAGTTTACATGTACATGTAATTACTAGTTTATACTGTACATAGCATACTGGTTGTTGTTAGCCTTCCTTCTTTTTGTTCTTCAGTATATAGTAAAGTGTACACCACTGAGTATATTTTCTAACTCTGCATGAGATAGGGCAAGTGTTTATTTACATTGCAACAATTTTTTTTCTAAAATAAAAAAAAAAAAAGCTATGTACACCATGCAGCTGGTACCAATCCTGTCAGACTTTGGTTAAAATTCTTGAGCATGATTTTAAAATTTATATTGCATTCTTTAACTGTCAATCGTCAAAACAAGAAAAATAAAGCATGGAACATAGACACTTAAATGTAACATTTTTTTGATAATTTTTTAGGGATATGTTTGTGGAAGAGCACATGAAGCCTCCAAACAAAGTCATCACAGAGAGCAATCTGGAGTTTATCTTTAACCTTGACGATGAGAGTATGATTGTAAGTATTCCATTCTGTGATTGTGTCAAAAAGTCTGAAGATTTTCACACAATGCAAATGTTCCTCCAAAATTTTGTTTGGAATTGAGTCACAGAAACTGACATTGTAACTAATGAAATTTTATCTTTTCTATAATTATGATTATGGTTAGCCAAATGTAAATTTCTTTAATTAATATTTTTCCCCTTTATTTTTTCTTGGATTCAGAAGGGAAGTAACAAGAATACATTAATTTAAAAAAACAAAACAACAACATTGTGATATTTAATGCAATATTATTAAATGAAAGTTTATTCATTATGTTCATGCAATGAATTTTTATAAACGATAATTAAACTAGAACAGTATTGATTTAAATGTACAGATTTTATTTCATTTTAAAGTTATTTCAGCTACCCTAGTAAAATGTTTGAAGATTAAACTTCAGTTAATGCATGGCAATGCATTTTGATATACATGTAGGATATAATGTGCAATTTAATCTATCATGCTAACATGTTCTTCATTCACATTAAATATGATACATGTAGCTCTAAGCCCACATGCATAAACAACATGATTTACCCAAATCCATTACTTCATTGTCAACATATACTTGCTAGTGTAACTGACTGCATGTTCAAATCAATGTCTGATTTAACATCTGCTAGCTAAATTTTGGCTTGATAAAATGAAAACAATTTTAGAATTCTTCCATTCTGTTTACCATACCTGTAGCTTCAGTTTGATATCAAAACTAAAATATAAATAAATCATGAAATGTTATCAATTTGAAATCAAATGGGTGCATAACTGTGCAATTTATCATTTAAGGCATAATAAAAAAATATGTTTGTTTACGGTTACCCGACCGACCCTATATTTAATCGCCAACCAAGATTTTTTTTTATCGTAAAAACCCGGAAGTCACTCCCTGGTCAGTTCAACTTTTACATGCATCTAAATTGGTCAAGCGTTTGAAATCGAAATTGAAAGTACTAAAACAAAAGGAACCACACAAAGGTAAAACTGTTTTGTATTTCAACTAATTCACGTGAATTTGTGTATAAAAATATTCAATAAAATAAATAAAAAATCCTACCTACCGACCCTATTTTATTTTAGCATGTAACTGTAAACAAACATATTTTTTTTGTTTGGCCTAATTTGTTGGTAAATTTATTTCCTAGAAAAAGATATTTTATTACATGACATTGTATTAAGAGAATTGAAATGTTTTCTTTCTATGAATTATTCAAATTCCAAATGTGACCGGGGAATTTTTGATTGATAGTTTTATCCACTATTGGATTTTTAAGTCTGTGCTTCTATTTCTTTTTTTTTGAAAATTTGGTTTAGGTAATTAGTTTAATATGTTAAATAATGTTATTTATTTATGTGACTAATTAATTTAAAACTATTTAAAATTAGTAGATGGTTTATTAATTTGTTCATTTTTATTTATTTATTTATTTATTTTTTTTACACTTCTAGGATGAAAAGGACATGGTACAATTGATACGCACTCATTAAACTTTTCGAGACATATCTATTTTTTCCATTATAGCTTTATGCTTAACACAAAAACAAAATATATTATGTTTGTCTTTTATGGGTACTTGATTTTGTTATGATAAAAAACCTATTTCTGTTATACAAGTATTTTTTAAAAAATTAATAATAGATATCATACTATCTAATATTTAATGAATGACTTCTGCAAAAATCTTCAAATTAACGGTTATATTATCAGCTCAGATTCAATGCTTGCATTTAATATATATACACTATAATCTATACATACATGTTGTACATGTATTAATTAATTATGCCTCATAATTTTAAGCTAAATATTTCTGAACTAATGACTAAGAATATTAAGTATATTAAAAAAAAAAAAGACCAAGAATAAAGGACCTTATAAGCTTCATTAACCAGCTGCTCACAACTTCCCCTTTTCTGCACATTGTCTTTATAGCTTACCATTCAATATATATATTCATTGACACAGGTGTACAGGGCAATATTAATCAATATAATATGGAGAAAATTCAGGATTGCAAATTTTTCATGAATCAAGGTGATTTGGAATTTTACAGAAAAGTGTTTGTAGTGACTGTGTGTGTACCTAAAAAACCCATGATAATCATATACCCTGGTAATACATAAAATCTCAGGGTTTTAGCCTTTTCTCAGGTCCATCTTCTAGGTAATGAAGGTTGCATGGGTAGGGATTCAAAAGTATGGATACTTAACAATTTGAATTTTAAGTTTCTGGGAGGGAAGTAGGAATCTAAAACTTCATTCATACAGTTACGTTTGTATGTACTTGTACTACACGTTATACTGACTGCATGGTTTCATTTGGTGATCAGCCACCATCCTACATCAATATGATCAACTTAACTTAGAGAGCTAGTTTGAATGCTGTGTTAATTTCTAGCCTGAATTTTTGTAGGATTTTATAGACATTCCGGTCAACATTCAGAGAGGACAAGGGTATTTTGGTGGCCGATTTGAAGGCATTACAAAGAGCCGTACAATCTGGGTCTGCTCTGCTCTTAAGCTTCATACTTGTCGTAATCTCTCACCTCTCACATGTGGAATCATGGTGTCCATTTCTCATTTAACTCATTTCATATGTTGGGCTGCAAACTGACTTTTGTGAAGAGTTGTGTTAAAAGAGTTGATCAATATGCCATTTTCTGAAAAAAAAAAATAATAAATACGAGATTTTGTTCGGTGCAATAATATCAGTGATGTGAATTTTTGTTGAAATACAGTGTATTAAGCAAATCTTTATGAAACTCACGAGGGTAAAAAAAAAGGTTTTTTTTGAATTTGTTATTACAATATAATTATAAGTGCAGATTCATTACTACAATTCTAAAATAAAATGTTATAGATTGTTTGGAATGACAAAGTTATAGATGACTGTGTGTTTACTTTAATTAACATCTAGCCATCATGATGAAAAATTGTTTGTGGAGTGATAAGCATGAACTGTGTTTTACTGAATTTGGTTTCAATAATTTTTTAACAGAAAGGGGTGGGTTTGGGGTAGGGGAAGGGTTCAAGATTGGTTAATAAATCCAGTGTGCAGCCTTACATTTCTTTCCAGCAGAAGAAACTTGCATGTGGAAGACACCTTGTAAAATTTTGCATGCATGGAACCATAGAGAGAATGAACATAGGAAATCACTACTACAGCTTTAGTTCCTTAACTTTCAGCACAAAAATATACAGATACATGCATGAATTTGAAATTACTTGAGCTTTAGAAAATGGAGTTTGTCTGATACCCAATTAATTATCCCTTAGCAACATTTTATTGTAGATAATGAATGTAAAAAAAAATTGTGGAATATTTCATGAATGATAAGAAATTAAGTTTTCTCATTTCTTTTAAGAAAAATGTGTTAACTAAGGCCATATTGGTTATACAAAATTAGACTCTATTGCATAGTAAATCTGAAAAAAAAAAACCAAACAAAAAAAAAAAAAAAAAAAAAAAAAAAAAACAACAAACAAACAAAACAGAAAACATTGAAATGTTGCACATATGCATTTATCAACATTAATACTTAACTTAAAGTTCATCTTCAGAAGTTAACTCTGCATGTTGACAGCTAAAATGAATGATTTAATTATAAAAATTATTTTTCTTTTAAATTATTCATTAATTTATAATATTAATTTGGATAAAATTAACATCAAATTATGAATGATGAGAAACTATGGCCAGAAGCAGGAAAAAAAAGAAACAATTAATTCACATTTCAGTTCACCAAAGGGAGTATAGTCAATATAAAGTGTACATTAATTATTCCTTAGGAAAAGAATGAACATGATGAAATTTTGATATAATAATTAAAATGTAATAAAAAAGAGAGGGAAAAAGAGCCTGAATAATATCTTTCGTACATAATATATACATGTATTGATGGTTGATGTTACATGTACCCATTCATGAAAAGGTCACTCCAAATAAAAGAATTGATTAAAAAGGTAGACATATGACACTAAGCTAACCTTGGACACATGAAAAATTGCCTGACATACATGTATATTCTTGCATGTACCCATAATCACTTTATTATACATGTAGTTTAAAGAGTATGACTTAATTTTATGAATCACGATAATTAATATTAATATCTATTCAGTTCTTTACAAACTGATTTAAAAGCATATGGATTTTGATGGTGTACAATGTAATTAACATAGAGATCAAATTTACAGACAAAACAAATAGACCAAATTTAAATATTAATGTCCAGAATATTACTGATAAATACAGACATACATACAGTCTTTTCTCCCTAGATAAGTCAGCTCTTCTTTGGTGTCTTTGGTTTCCTGTCATGTGACCTTCCTACTCGAGGTCTGGCGTGCTCTTCAAATTTTCTTCAGCAAAAGCAGGAACTCCGTAATCTCCTCCACTTAATATTGAACCATGGTCTCCCCTAGTTGTTAGATCCCTGGAAGAGTTATGGCCCTTTATCATCACTGGTAGTCACAGTGAGGAGCTGTGGTAGAGGATTATGGGATAACAGTGAAGGGTTATGGGAAATGTATCTTTCTCTGTCCAGATCTCACTGCATTTATTATTCTTTTTCGTAGACCCAGCAGATAATAGGCAGATTAACAGATTATTTTTAGAGATAGAAAAATTAGAAATGTGTGATAGAAGGTGGGGGACTTCCACTAAATCAATAAAAATAAGTGCTTGTTCATGTGTTTAGTTACTTTGATTAAAGAAATGGCAGTCATCAAATATTAACAAAGATATTGTGTTTGTTAGAACATAGTTATAGTGTCTGAGAGATTCAGGTAAATTCTGTATTGATTTTCTGGGCAGAATGTAATTTAGTGACTGTCCCACAAGCAATTAATTGCTCTGGGGAAGAAAGTGTTCAGATAGTCCATATAGAGTTATAACTACATCTGTACAAGCTGACATTATAAGAGAGTTTTTGCTAGATAATATGATATACAGAAATTGTATTACTGGTATCTGGAATTTATAAAATGTCAGAACCACAAAACGTAAGTGGACAAAAAGATAAATTTATTCCTGTATTATATTGCACATAATTAATTATAATAAAGATATTATTTAATATATAGTTACAATAATTTTATATATTGTAGAGGTGCTATTAAATTTAATATACTGATACACATGTATTCATTTATTCAAATTAAATATAATCATTTTTTTCTTCAGTTTAATTTCAATTTTAAGTTATGAACATTATAATAAAAAAAAAAAGAAATACTTCATTATCTATATTGATTACCCTTTTCTAGTAATTTTGTGGTTTTCTTTTTTGGTTCTCAAATTAATTGTATGTTTCTGCTTTGATTTACATTTCGATGTATTATTATTATTTATTTATTATTATCATTTACCTTCATTAATCTCGTAATTTTGAATCAATAGATGCAAAATTTTAATTCTTGATTTACCTGATTTCCGTAGCCCACTCCTGAAATGTACGCGACAGCTTACGGACATTACAACATGAGCCTTAAGAACATGTGCTTCAGGTAGGTGTGGGAATCTGAATTGTTTTTAATTAAGTGATTTTTTTTTTCATTTAGTTTTTCATAATTCTTTTTTAAGTTAAAGTGCATTTTAACTCCATAGCTTTAAACTTTTTTTTTTAAATTCATGATTATTATTTAGCTTTAAATCCTTTGTAATTGCTTTTTTTTTTTTGAAAAAAAAAATCTTTTTTATGATGTTTCTCAACTGTTAGAAACTGGTATTAGGAACCATGCATTGTTTTTGAAAAATAAAATGCTTTCTTTGTTTTCCTGCATACATGTAAGTGCATGGGTTATGCTAATTTTTTCTGCACTGGTTGCAACCATTCATTGACATCAAAATTGTTAATAAACAAAGAAAGACATTTTATTGTTTATATTATATCAGTCCTGTATAAATCATCGGTATATATTGTATTGTTGGTCTCTGTGTTACATTGATGGAAAAGCTAACTTCTAAAGAAATCTTTCAAACTGATGTCTAGTATAAAAACCTATTCTAACTAGTGTCATGTTCACTGATTGATAACAGCAATTAGTTTTATAAGAAATACAGCTGAAAATATTCAGTAGCTACCATTGTAAATATTTGATATGGAAAACTGACAAGTTTTATTATACCTGGTAGTTTGAGTATTCAAGTATTTATTAGTACATGTGCAATTGTATATGGACAATGCAGACCATTGTCTATAGCGAACAAGGTAATTCTTCAGTGCCTGGATGCAATATTATTTTTCAGTGCCTGGATGCAGTATTATTTGCACAAAAAGAAGAAGAAGAGGGCTATGGAGAAGAAAATGCAGATAGCAGCACTGCACCATGCCCATAGAATTCTGAGAGTTCACCTCAATGTGTGGAGAGTAAGGCCAGAGCAGTAATCCTAGCTTTAATGATTTGATAGGCTTAGAAAAAAAAACAGTTATACATTGAAATTCTTAAAACTGGCACCCCTGAAAACCACCCCCCCCCCCCCATCTCAAAATTGGCCCATATAAAAAGTCCCTGCCAGCACTCTCAGTTCACTGAAAACCAGCAACCCCTGTAATCCCGCCATTTGATCTGGTCCGGCAGGTGGCCCGTTTAGAGACATTTCACTGTATTATTTATAGTAAGGTGTCACAAAATAAAGTGATTCAATTTCATTAGGGACAAAAAATATATCTTAGCTATATGTTGTTGATTGTGACAAATTTACAGATTTGTGACCGCGCTCTTGGATGTCTGGGACATAATTCGACGGTGCACGTTCATTGGGGAATTTAGCTCAAGGGTTTGGGGAATGTTAGGAAGCACATAAGTCCAAATTTGTAGGGTAACAATGACAGTTTATTAAAGTAACAGTGAATTCCAAACAACATAAAAACATTAAGATGCAAGTCCAAGTCCTAACTAAAATTTAGATAAAGTTGGCCTAAATAGAAATAGAATCTTAAAAGTTTCTTAGTCTAATTCCTACATGGTTCTTAATTAACACATCAACTCACTAGCTCTGTCACTCTAGATCTCCCTTAACTCTCTGTATTCTCAAATATATATTATTAACTAATTGTAAGAAATTACTCAATGTAAATATAGCCAAAGGGCAAAACTTGTCAACTAAGTAATCTGAACAATAGAATACTCAAGTGTCATCCTTTGATGTCAGGAAGTCAAAGAAGATTTATTTAATTAATCTAACACCTAATCAGTGACCATTGCCATCAGGCAGTATGAGTGTAAATGATTTACAATTGCTAAGAAAGCTCTAAATATTTCTGGGGATTAAGAATTAGCCAGATGTAAAATGTGTTTGTTTAGTTTCATTACTTAATTGTGAACAAATAACTTAGGATATCAAGAATTTATCAAAGTAAATGAATTTTATGAATGATATGAAATTTATTAAGAAAATCATTAAATATATTAAAATAAGTATCAAAAGTGAAATGGGAGCCATTTCACTGGTGATATGCTCCCCCTACTTCACCAAAAAGATTTCTCCTGAAATCTTAAAATACCTAGACTTCAATAATTACAAAAATCATTACCAGGTATATTACCCTATTATTTTTTTTTTAAACAAACAGCTACCAAATATATAACTACATATATACACAATTGTATCTGATAGCCTAACCAGGTTAAATTTCTGGAAGAAAACTTTCTTAACCTAAAGGTATAGTAGGGTCAGAGAGTATGAATGAAACATTCATAAGAACAATTAACAATCAAAAATATATACATAAATAGCATCCTAATTGGTAGGAATTATGCTAGAATGAATGGAAGTAATGATAAGTATGTTTTACATATATATACAAGGGCCCACAATAAAATCTTTTACGACGAAAAGAAAATGATTAAGACTTGCATGTACAATGCAATAAAAAATAAACATTGAAAACAAATAATCATGCTATTAAAAGTGTCCTTTGAAATTTGTCCATTTGAATAGTACATTGGAGTTCATTTGCAAATTCATTTGGAATACATTGTTGCACAACAATTAAGCACAATTATATAGTTCATGAATTTGAATATTCTTATTCATTCTGAAATAAGAACTGTGTCCTTTGAAATCTACCTGTTTCTGGATTGGAATATTTGCACTGAAAAATGTCCTTCGAAATGATTCACTGGTATGTCCTTTGAAAAATTCTTTGGAATTTCATTGAATATGCATCGTTGACTGCTTGCATTGTATCCTAACATCCCATTGGGAGTTCCATTAGGATTCAGCAGAAGTTATCATGACATCTCAGTAGAGAGTTCCATCAAGATGTAAAAGCAGTCAATGAATCATGACATCCCAGCAGGGAGTTCCATCATGATTAGTGGTCACCATGACATCCGCAAACTGGAGTTCCATCATGGTGATATAGTACAGAGTCACTAGTCATAACATCCTTAGGAAGGAGTTCCATTATGACCAAAATTCACAGACAGCTATGACATCCCTGGCTGGTACAGGGAGTTCAATCATAGCACAATTTTGATGACCTTGGGAAAAGAAGTGGGTCGATCAGCATAGTTTCCTGCAAAACTTCTGGAAAATGAACTGTCAATGAATCACACACAAATCATTTGTAGTCAGGGAGAGTGGCAAGAAAGTACAACCACCAAAAATCTACATGTGACACAAGAAGCTATACCTACAGATTACTTTTACTTAAATTTAAGTGTGAAAGTCTTGAAAATAATTTAATGTATGGGAAAGAATAGGTGATACATTATAATAGGTTAAACATGAGGGTATGAGAACTTTATTCTTACACAAAAAGTAATGAGAAATTATTACTGAAATGAAGCATTACACCGTTCCTCAGCAGTTTAAGAAACTAAAGTAGTTTCCGCTGGTTCATGACTCACAGGTGTTCTAATGTCATCCAGTATATCTTTGAAAACTACATTTGCATATATTCAAAGGGAATGGAATGAAAAAGAGGGGGGAAATGTTTTCTTTAATATTTTGGGTATAATATTTTTCCTGCGTCCTTAGAAAATAATGATAATGTGCGGCGCCTCACACTATCTAGCACTGTAGGACAGGGACAGAAAAAACACTAGATGGCCTAACTTATAGAAAGATTAAATTAAAAAAAATCTTCATGTTGTTAATACTTTAATTAATATAGAATGGGTGGAGTATCAATTTAGAAATCAGCATCAGGGTGAAAGAGTTTTGCGTGATTGCGAAGTTTGATTTTGAAGGCGAGGATACCCTCAGAAGATGAATAGCAAGTTGGTAACCATTTGGCTTTTTCTGGTGTAAAGTGATGCCAAAAGAAAGTGGTTCTGTGTGGAAATGAATGGACAGAAGAAATTGGGATGTACTGGCAACTGTTTGTATTTAGTTGTCCTTTTGTTCTTTTGTGAGATTCTGCAATTTCATGGTCCAATTTATTGAAGAAGGCTCTAAATAAATGGCCAGGAACCTCTCTTGGAAGACTGTAAGGTATACCTTCTTGGTAGTTGCCATAATCATCAGATAGAAGGAAGCGAAAATTGGTTTCTTTCCGATCAATTATTGCAGCGATGATTGCTTGTTTGCTCTTTTGTATTGGATTTATGGTGTGAACTGTCTCTTGTTGGTCAAAAAATTTCTTTTTCTGTGGACGTTTTCTTTTCTTTCCCTTGGCATTGTAGAGTGAATGGAATGTGTCCTTGAGGGTTTTGGGGATTTGATTTCCATCTTGCCAGGAAGTTTGAGGTTCGTTTGTAAATTTGACTCTGTAGATAGGTTTTCCTTGGTAAAGGCTGTACTCAAGGATTCTTTCGATTTGGTCTGATGAAAAGAGTTTTGATTGTTTATCCTTTGATTCGTTGCATTTTGGTAAGTTCTTTGCATGTTTATTTGCAGTTTTATTGTTATTCTTTGGTTTTGAAGTTGATGGTTGTGGTTGAGGATTATGTTGTTGGGGATCATGAGCTGCATCTCTAATGCTTTGGTCATTATCATCAACATTGTCCTCGACATCATCTTCAGGTAGAGGCAGATTTTCATCATCATCATCCGGATGTTGATCAATATTATCTGGATGTTGGTTTGCATTTGCAGGATGCTGGTTAGCATTAGCTGGATAGTTTTCCTCAGTCATTTCTCCATCCAATTCTTCAGGATTCAGAACCACATCCTGATATTCTGGTAAGAAATAGTGAGGTCTGTCGTCTGGACTATGATATAATTTGAGTCTTTTGGCATGAACAAGACTCTTTAGAATTTTGTGTGTGGCATCACTTCTTAGTTTGAATGTGTGGTTTGGGATTGATGAATTATAGAATAGGGACCAACCCATTTTTGAAGGAGTTTTGGTGATTTTCCTTTGGGAACATGACTGCAGTAAAGCCATACCAGAGTGCCTAAGATGAATTCTGGCTCCTGTGCACGTTTATCATGTTGTTCCGTGTATTTTTGTTGATGACGCTTGATGTTTTCGGCAGCAATTTCTCTGCATAGTTTGAGTTGTTCCAGGACCCGCATTAAATGTAGCTTAGGTTCTTGTGCCATGGAAGTTTTAGGAAGAAGAGAAACATCAACAGGAAGGCGCATTTTCTGTCCAAACAACAACTGGAATGGTGAGAACATTGTAGACTGAGTAGCAGGTGTTGATCTGTATGCCATGAGGACAGCTGGAATGAATTTCACCCAATCTGACTGGTCTTTATTGCAGTATGTTCGAAGTGTTTGACTGATGAAGGAGTTCATCCTTTCACAAGCCGCATTGGTTTGTGGGTGATAGGCACTGGTATAGTGTCTGGTGACCTCAAAAAGTTCACAGAGAGCTTGCACTAGTTTAGACATAAAATTTTGTCCTCTGTCGGATATGAGTGTTCTTGGTGCTCCATATCTAGCAAATATTTCGGCAAACAGTACTCTCGCAACTTCTGTAGCTTCCATAGACTTTAAAGGAAAAGCCTCACACCATTTGGAAAAGCTGTCAACAACTAATAAAAGATATCTATCCTTGTTTGGTGTCATTGGTAGCTCTAAGAAGTCCATGTGCCATCTGGTAAATATGTCTTCAACGGGAAGTGGCGTCAAAGGGATTGGTTTCTGATGTTTTGAGCTCTTGGACTGCTGGCAGGTTTCGCAAGTTTTGATATATTTTTCAATGTCTGCATACATATTTGGCCAGTAGTATTTTGCACGGATAGTAGCATATGTGCGCTCATGTCCTTGATGTCCGCCACCAGCAATGCAGTCATGATATGAAAGCAAAATGTCATTTCGAAGGGGTGTGGGGACACAAAGTTGCTTCCCAAGACTTTGATCTGGAAATTGAATTCTAGTGTGTTCTTTGTAAAAGTGAAACAGAAGTCCATTAGTTATTTCATAATGGAATGATTTAGCAACAATTGCGGTAGCTTGTTTTATATTTTGAGGCAGATTTTCTGTTTTCTTGTACTCAATGATGGCTTGAAAGTCAGGGCAATTTTCTTGCAGATGCTGTAGATTAGGATTGTCTGAGACAATATCATCATGTTGATCTGCTGCATTCAAGCCAAGAATATCAGGTTTCCTAGGTGCAGTGTCATCTGGATACTCAAATGTGGCCGCCATAAACTCTTTTCTAGTAGCTTCAATGGATCCGATGGCAGGTAGGTCCTCATCATAGTGCATTCTTGGTGGAGTTGGAGGAGGATAATCTCGACGAGATAGACAGTCTGCGTTTAGGTTTTTCGTTCCAGGACGATGTTGTATTTTGAACTTGTACTGTTGAAGAAACAGAGCCCACCGTCCTAGTCTACCTGTCGCATCCTTAGTGTTGTCCAGCCAGCGTACTGTTATGTTGTCTGTGAAGACTGTAAACACAGCACTAGTGAGGTAAGCCTTGAATGTTTTGATGGCCTCAATCAAAGCGAGGCCTTCTTTATGGTTAATGTGCCATCGTTTTTCTTGATCTCGTAGTGCACGTCCTCCAAAAGCAATTACATTTTCAAGTCCTTGTGAATTTATTTGTCCAAGGACATATCCAATGGCAGCATCTGATGCATCAATGGATAGCACAAAAGGTTTGCCAAAGTCAGGAAACGCTAGGATAGGAGCTGTTGTTAATTTTGTTTTCAGGAGGTTGAAAGCATCAGTGTGTTCTTGTTTCCACTGAAATTTGATGTTTTTCTTCAGGAGATTTAACAATGGAGCACAAATCTTGCTGTAGTCTTTGATAAATTTCCGGTAGTAGTTACACATTCCAAGGAAGCTGCGGACCTGTTTGGCATTTCGGGGTTGTGGGAAGTCAGCAACTGTGGAAATTTTGGCACGGTCTACCTCAACACCTTTTTCAGAGATTATGTGTCCAAGATATTTTACTTCTTGGGCAGCAAAATGGCATTTAGCTGGCTGAAGAGTGAGATTGGCTTTACGAAGTTTTTGAAAAATGAGGCCTAAATGTTGTAAATGTTCATCAAAATTTTTAGAAAAAACCAAAATGTCATCAATGTAAATGAGTGCAATTTTCCAGTTTAATTCCTGTAAGACTTTTGTCATCAGCATCTGATAGCTTGTAGGAGCATTTGTCAAGCCGAAAGGTAGACGTTTGAACTGATACAGTCCTTGATGTGTGATAAAGGCAGTTTTGTGTTTGGTTTTCTCATCCAAAGGCACTTGCCAGAATCCACTTGCTAAATCTAACACACTGAAAATTTTGGATTTTGAGTCGGCTATTGTGTCAAACACTTCGTCTAGCTTAGGAATTGGAAAGGAAACGAGCTCTGTGATGGAATTTAGTTTCCTGTAATCTACAGCAAATCTGTATTGTCCATTAGCCTTCTTAACCATGACCACCGGACTTTGGTAAGGGGAAGTGGATTCCTCAATCACACCATTTTTCAACATCTCTTGAATTTGACGTTCTGTCTCTTGTCGCATTTGTGGATTTTGAGCATATCTCGGTGTGCGGACAGGTTTGTCTGTGTTTGTGATAATTGAATGGGTTTGGAGGTTGGTTTTCCCCAGTTCAGAGGCATCCTTGGCAAACACATCTCTGTTTTGTCCAATCAGAGTCAGGAGTTGTTGAATTTGGACAGACGAAAGGTTTTGTTCTTGAATGTTTACACTGAGCTCTTTGGCAATAATTGTATAATCTGTAGTGGCCATTGTCTGTGTAGTATCTAGGGTTGACACGCATGCAGAGTGTACAGTGTCAATGGAGATGATGTCAAAGTTGGAATCCATATGAAAAACTTTCGCAACAACTGAATTTGCTTTTAAAGCAACTGATTCATTGAGAGGATTTAGGATCCTGTATGGAACTGTGTCTTTTACACATGTAGCCACGCATCTGCTTCCAACCAGATTCTTGTTTACAAGAAGGTTCACTGGTTCAAGGAAGACTTCAGAACCATGAGGGACATTAGAAACTGATAGGGTGATTGTTGACTCAGATAAAGGTGGTAAATAAATTTCAGAATTTGTACGAGCAAGGGAAAGATGTTGGTTTCCATCATATTTGTTGTATGGGGTTGTAATAGAAGCAATGGTTGTTTCATTTTGAAAAGAAACACAATGGTTTGTAAGATCAATGACAGCCTTGTTTTGTTCTAAAAAATCTTGTCCTAAAATGAGGGTTTGAGGCAAAGTCTCTAAGATGTGAAAAGTATGAGGCATTTTTAAGCCATTGACATCAATATCGAGGTCTGTTGTTCCCAGAATTTTATGAGATGTGTCGCAAACACCTTTGACATATGAAAAATTTGATCTTGAAACATAAGGATTTCTGAAAATTTTCTTAAGAAACTTATTGCAAATGACAGAAATATTAGCACCAGTATCAACTAGAGCACTGATATGAAAGTTCGAGATTTTAACTTGAATTTTGTTTTTATTGGTGATAGCTGTTGAAATGGAGGCTACAAATTTGCGAGGGTGGGATGGGAGGGAACTAGGTGGATTTCTAAGAGAGTAAGCCATTATCGTGAAAAATACAGCAAATAAAACAATCTAATAAAAATAATAGAAAGTTATAAAACTGTGTCACATGTGATAGTAGTGCCTGTACTTACCAACAGGAACTGGCAGGCTGTTTCTGTATAGATTTGATGGCAGGGCTCCTTTCTTTAGAAGAATGTTAGAGTCACAAATCACTGTTTCAACAACACAAAGGTCCTGTAGAAATCCAAGAGTCCCAGAATGTTCACATTAGTCCACTGTAAGAGGAATTCTAAAGGATTCGACCCGGATTCTCGACCACTCTGTGACCGCGCTCTTGGATGTCTGGGACATAATTCGACGGTGCACGTTCATTGGGGAATTTAGCTCAAGGGTTTGGGGAATGTTAGGAAGCACATAAGTCCAAATTTGTAGGGTAACAATGACAGTTTATTAAAGTAACAGTGAATTCCAAACAACATAAAAACATTAAGATGCAAGTCCAAGTCCTAACTAAAATTTAGATAAAGTTGGCCTAAATAGAAATAGAATCTTAAAAGTTTCTTAGTCTAATTCCTACATGGTTCTTAATTAACACATCAACTCACTAGCTCTGTCACTCTAGATCTCCCTTAACTCTCTGTATTCTCAAATATATATTATTAACTAATTGTAAGAAATTACTCAATGTAAATATAGCCAAAGGGCAAAACTTGTCAACTAAGTAATCTGAACAATAGAATACTCAAGTGTCATCCTTTGATGTCAGGAAGTCAAAGAAGATTTATTTAATTAATCTAACACCTAATCAGTGACCATTGCCATCAGGCAGTATGAGTGTAAATGATTTACAATTGCTAAGAAAGCTCTAAATATTTCTGGGGATTAAGAATTAGCCAGATGTAAAATGTGTTTGTTTAGTTTCATTACTTAATTGTGAACAAATAACTTAGGATATCAAGAATTTATCAAAGTAAATGAATTTTATGAATGATATGAAATTTATTAAGAAAATCATTAAATATATTAAAATAAGTATCAAAAGTGAAATGGGAGCCATTTCACTGGTGATAGATTCATGCAATTTAAAGATAATTCATAGATATTAATAAGAATTGATGAAAATACAAAATTAATAATGATGTGAAATGTTTTAGGACTGGTTGAGATACAGAAAGGGATGCCAGGCCAGTAAGTAATCATCACAGGACTAGAAGTTATTTAGAAGACTAATAATCCGGAAGAAAAAATGAAATTGAAGATCAATTATTTTTCAAAAAAAAAAAAAAAATTGAAAAAAGATTTAAAGTATTGGTAACTTTCTCACTACAATGTAAGAAAGTTGAACCTCAGCATTTCACAGTGAAACATCATGTTTGTAGAACACCAGAACTTTGGATAAAGTGAGTCAGGGTGCTGTCAATTATAAAATTCAATATGTTTAAAGTTTCACTTTTGATATCTACTAGGCTCATACATCTGATCTCAGATTATTTTGTGGATCCCACAGTGTTTAAGATACATGTTCTGAGGTTTTACTGTATGAGAACAAAGTGAAATGAAATTCATTTTAGTGGCCTACCACAAGTTGAAGAGGATCTACTTTGTCAGTGTTGGAATTGTACTGTTCCGAGAATGGCGGGCAGTGGCCAAACGCAACAAGGATCAGAGAGAATACTTTGAGGTAAAACAAACAAATCCCTCCCCCCTCCCTTATCTCCTACATGTCCTAAAGCTTGATTTTTATACTGTATGAAACAATGTAATGGTTTCACATTTTGTTTTTCACTTCTATAATGTTAAAACTTTTTGGAATTTAAACAAGTTTATGTTTTGTTACTAAAAATAGTAACAGAGCACTTCATTTTGAAATGAATATATTTTTTGAGGACAGAATTGAGAATGCATGTGTCCAGAGAGCAGTAGTGCTTTTAGTAGCAATATTTAAGGAATCATATAAATGAATATCTTTAATATGAAAAACTGTTTTTTAAATTAGCCTGTAAAGAGTTTGAATCAAAGAATCTATTTTGTTTAGAAGCTAAATGTAATGTTAGAAGAAACATTTCTAACTGCTGGTAATAATATTTTAAATTAATTTTATTTTGACAGTGCTATCTGATTTTTAAGCAGGATTTCTTTTTGTTTAACTAGCCAATCAAATTTAACCTGATCATCTGTTCTATTTTTGGATATGCAGATGACACTGGTCAGTAAGACACGTCTTGGTGTCGTTTGGACTTTGGACTTTGGGCTTTCTCAGTTTTATTTTTAGACCTAATGGGGCTGGCTGATAAACTAACCGCTCAAGAATTCTCACCCTTTGCTACTGGTTTTGGGTTTTTAAATCTAACATTATAAGAGATTTACTTTACATCAAATGATAAATTTTATAGATTCTATTGTATGGTTCTGTTCATCATATAAATATACATGTAGTTAACTTTAGAAAATAAAAAAAAATCACTCATATGATACATTGATTTCTTTTGAAACTTAATGACTCATTGAAATTCAGTTTCATGCACTCTTACATGTACTACACATGGACTTTTGCGAGAAGCGTTGACTTTTACAATCGACAGCTTACTTTTACACTAGGACAGTGTATGGAAGCTCTTTTGCGATATAAATATTAAGCTTAACAGTTAATTAAATGGTAATAATGGGCCATTTCAAGCATATATTACGTTGTCTAGGAAGGGAACGGCAACAACCCTACCCTCAATTCCCTCCCTTCCCACACTACGCAACTCTTGCGTAGTTTTCCGTGCGGAATGTTTTTTCTTCGTTATTTGATTCCTTCAGAAAATGAGATTAAAAGGAGGTACTAACCCTCACGAATAAGGTAATTTAAGCTAGTATGTTATTCTGCCTCCCATCATCTCTTGTATTGATTGCATACCAGTTTAATCATGTTAGTGCCCAAAACAAGATACCTAGAACCACTATTAAGGTTTTCTTATCTATTATCATTTCCGTACCTCCGTACATAAGGCAGGTTTAAATGTCCAAATAAGCTGTCGACTGTAAAAGTCAGTGCTTCTCGCAAAAGTCCCATACTGTATCAAATATTTCAAATGATAATATTTTCAAATTTTAAGTTTTTTTTTCTTATAGATAAAAGATATGTTCATGTAATCTACTAAAAGTTGAGATAAGAAAAAGAAGCTATAGTTAGGATATTTTATTTTATTATATATATATACCTACTTTCTTGAGTCACTTAAATATATACATTTATATACAGACTGTACTAATAACTCCTCGCAATGAATTCTTATTTCAAAATTTTATGATATATTCAGACATTCTTATTACAGTCCCTGAAACGTTCTACTTTCCCACTTGAACGGTGAGCGAACGCTGAACGAACGGTGAACGAACGCTGAACGAACGCAGAGCGAACGGTGAGTGAACGATGTGTGAACGCTGAACGCAACTTGGTGAACGATGTGTGAACGGTGAACGGTGAGCGAACGCAGAACGCGAACGGAGCGCAAACGCGAACGCAAAGTGAACGGTGAACGAACGGTGAACGCAAGATGAACGATTTTTTCGGAATGCCTCTGATCTTTTCCTTACATTGAAACTATTCTATTGTATATATACCTGGTGCTAAAAAATAAATGAATAATAAATAAATAAACAAATCAATGAAAAGTGTCCTAAGAAAGACGATACATGCACATTAAGTAAAACTATTAATTTAAGTTTCTTACAATATTTTCTGCAGATATGTACGATGTTTAAATTCAACTTTTTAATAACATGATTTTAATCGCTGTAAAACATTGTAATTGTTACCGAACGCTGCAGTATAAAAGATAAAATTAATCTAGCTGTAAAATAAATATGATTATTCTAATTTGATATATAAAATCATTACAAATAATGTGGATTTTAGAAGAGCAAACTACGGACTTATAGAATGAATTACAACGGTTGTAACAACCATACATATATTTTCGTGCCAAGGCGATTCCGTGTAAAATAATGAGAAAAAAATAAAATATTTTACAAAGGTATGTGGACGTATTGCATAAATACACCCGTATTTTAAAATTTTAATGCAATAATATATTTATCAGTCAGTTTTATTTTTTATGATGATTTATTGAGCAGACTTCTACATGTATCTGTAGACATTTCCCGGCCGTGATTATACTCGGACAAGATTATACAAAAAGGCATTCATATTATTTGTTATATATTAAAATTTTCACAACTTGATGTTTTAATAATATGCTGTCATAGTTATTATTAAAGAAACAAATGAGAGAAAGAGAGAGAGGGGGGATTCAGTTTTAGCCCCCCCCCCCCCTTTCTCAAGTGTTTGTACCTATACCAAATAAAAATTCTTAATTATTTTCTAAATATACCAGGCAATAAAAGAAACTATTTTTATCACCCAACCTATTTGTGTTACAGTCATAATCGGTTTTTATTTTCCTACTTCAAGTTCACACGAAGTCCACGTGCTTGACCTGTCAATCAAAATCATTCGACACTGTGCAGGTGTGAAAGTCTAGTCACACCAAAGGCGAAGTGTTAAGTATTTCCAAGAAGTTTTAACATTTTTTTTTCATCATTTCTAGATCTGATTCCAACATTCTAAAAAAAAGAAATAATGATAAATGAATAAAATACACTGGGAATAAACACTTGGAATGATTAAGGCGCTTGAATTTGAAACCTAGCTACTCCCTGCCAATTCAAAATATAACCGCCGGCACATGTATATTTTGAACTACTATTGTTTTATGACTTTGTTTAGATGCATATTTGTTTTGAGACTGAAATTTTTGTGCTACAAAACACATTAACTTCTATTTAAATGTTAATTAAAATATACTGGAAATACTAAATAACCGATTTACGGGAAAGGGGGGGGGGTGCTCTTAATTATATCGAATGGCAAACATATAAAGTAACGGTGAAAAATATCATTACTGGCGAATCACTTTGGTTATATTAATGATAATCATGTTATAAAGGCATTTCTCTCTCTCTAATTAAAGACTTTATATATGTAAAGTAGAAAAAAATTCTATAATGTATTACATTTTAAACAAATATTTTTTTTCTTCAAACCACACTATCAATTTAAATGCTCTAAGGATATTTAATTAACTGGATATCTGCAGTACTGTTTATAATCCTCAGAATTAGTTCTAACATGTATTTCTGTATTATTTGAAAAAAATGTGTTAGAAATAAATATTTTCGTATTTCTGCTGAAGTTGGTAAATTAATTGACTTCGGTTATTATCTATCCATTAACGATTTGTCGTCTTTAACATAACAACAAAATGTTGCAGTGCATGAAACATCTGTATATTGCCCGTATTTAAATTTAATGTTTCACCATCGTTCTACATAAGTACATACATGTACTTATAACAACATTTATTTTCCAGATAAATTTAATAAATAACATAAAATCTAAGTTAAGATAATAAAAATAAATATTGTAGATAATTTTTTTTCTTTAACCACGATATGTTTATTATTAAATTTGTAAATCCTTACTTAAAAAAAGATAAGTCCATTCACTTCGGAGTTCCGAATGACAATAAAGACTGAACGATAAGTGAACGCTGAACGCAAGGTGAACGCAGAGTGAACGAACGAAGAGCGAACGCTGAACGCTTTGTGAACGGTGAACGCGAGCGCACGGTGAACGCTGAACGCAAAACTGTGAACGGAGAGCGAACGGTGAACGCAAGCTGAACGAACGGTGAACGCACGCTGAACGAACGGTGAACGAACGGTGAGCGAACGGAAAAATGGGAAAGTAGAACGTTTCAGGGACTGTACATTTGCTATATTACATGTATCTATAACTTAGTTTGCAAAATATAAAGAAATGCTTTTAATAGGAAAAAGAAGTACTACTTCCTTATAGTAGTGGGGGTCAAAGGTTAAAAATTGCCAGGTCAGCTGTAGGTCACTTCCTGTCAGTTGGAAATCCCCTTTGGTTTTGCTTGATATTTATACCAGCAGGACATTAAGCACTGTATTTTGTTATTTGAATGTTAAATTTAAGTTTTTGTTTGTACTTTAATTTTGATGGTGGCGCTCTCACATTTCACTTTTTTAAGATCAGCCTGCGGGTAATGTTGATTTTATTTTGATGTACAACGTAATGCTGCTTGACACTGCATGCTGTGAATTAGCTTGATTAACCTGCGTGCTGCGTAAAAAAAATTTTGTTCGCGTTATTGCAATTTTTAGATCCGTAGCAAATTCAATACCAAGTAAATGTACATGTAGTTTATTTGATTTTTCTACCACATGAATTTTGAGTAGTTCATTTGATTCTTATTTTCAACTTAATTAAGACAAATGTAGATTTAAAAAAAAACAGTAAATTTATCTTAGACAGATTAAATAAAGTACACGCGGGTCTATGAAAATAAATCCATTCTGTTTGTCATACATGCTGAATGGAAAATGTGAAAATATTCATGATATAGATTGGACTATTGGATACACTTGCAAATTTTAAAAGTTTAATGAAAATTAACAAAATTAATTCAAAACACAATTTTCTGATTCCCATCCCTGAATATATATGTGTGAATGTGGTAATGTCCCTATTCCCTTTTCATAGATTTCAATCTTTGACCTTGGATGCTGAATTCCTCAGAAAATAACCCACATCCTTTTTACCTTTATTTTCCTACTTTTTACCTTAAAGCTAACATTTCTGTCAGTGACATAACTTAAAATGGATTTTTTTATGCATAGAACTTGCATGGTAATTTCTAGTAAATTATTCATACCAGTACTTATTGTAATAAGTAGAGTATATAGTTAAATTTTTATGGAACATTTTCCAATAAATATTGGTCTTATTATAGACATTTAAATTTTAAAGAAATAGTATTAGTTTCAGAGTTAATATAATTATTTTATGAAACCTTTTTTTTTTGCTTTAAATGTAAAATGCTCGGCTTTATAAAGATAGATGCGCTTTATTGACAATCACAGATGAAATCGCAAAATTTGCGCGTAGCTGCTGCTAAATTTTACAGCATGCATTGAAATTTTTTATATTCAATTTGTTTTAAAAAAACAAAAGAAAAAAAAAAACCTCTTCATAATATATTCAATATCAGCAAATATTACAGTGCAAGTTATCTCCCTTTCAAACTTCATGATTTATCTTCTCTTCCTTTTATTACCCCTGTGAACTTTTCTGCTATGTCTGTCAATATTAGCAAATTCCCTGATTATAATTTTCTCATAAATTAATCAAACATTTTAATTGTGAACATTCTGACAGGATTTACCTTGACAAGATTAAAGAACATTTAATGATCCTGCTTAATTTAATTTAAATCTATAGATTAATACATATTTACATGCAAATCATTTTAAATATTTATCTCCAGAATTTTAAATACCCTCAAAAGCAATAATTGTCACAAAAACTAAATTCTTTTGAATTATATTCACCTGAAAATTATGTTATCATGACTATCATTTTTTTTAAAATTATGTTCCAGTATTATATGCTTATATGTATATACTAACAATGAGCAAGGGTTTACTATATAACTGAGCATTGTAAAGTGATTTATCTCTGGTTACGTCAACAGAGACTGGAGCGGGGGGAGAATGTGGACGATGAGGAGACATTTGGTCAGGGAGATGGGGACGCTCAGGACAAATTATCTGGACAGCTGGGCATTGAACTGGCTGTAAAGGTACAGTAATATGTGGCCAAAATATGGTTATATAAAACACAGGCAAAATGTGTAGCCAAAACATGGTAATGTGAAACAGAGACAAAATATGTGGCCAAAATATATGCTTCAGTGATACAAAGGCAAAAAGGGTGGCCAAAATTTGGTACAGTAAACATACTTTTTGTTGTATGTAATCTTTAGTAATAGAAATATATGGGAGAGTGAAACAGACAATCTCTTGAAAATTAAGTGAAAGTCAAGTTTTTATATTCACCAATAGAAAGTGATTTAGGTTATGCCTGACTGTCAAGCAGTTAGATACCAAAAAGATCATTTATTTATGTTTGGGATGAAGTGTCAGTAAAAGAAATTTTTTTTTTGTTCGTTGAATCTCATTTGACTATGTTGAACATGAACATATTAGTATTATTTACTTCAGTATATTTGGAGATTCTAAAAGAGCTACATGCTATTGTATATGTATTCATTGTTCTTAATATGTTCTTTTTGTTGATATACCATTAATTACCTTGATAGGTATTTAGTTTCCTGGACATTGCTGACTTGGCCAGGTGTGCCTGTGTGTGTAGATCCTGGAAGGTCATTGCCTACCACTCCTCTCTCTGGAATAGGGTAAGTCATCCACAAATTAAATCTCTCTGGAATAGGGTAAGTCATCCACAAATTAGATCTCTCAGGAATAGCTTAAGTCATCCACAAATTAAATCTCTCTGGAATAGGGTAAGTCATCCACAAATTAGATCTCTCAGGAATAGCTTAAGTCATCCACAAATTAAATCTCTCTGGAATAGGGTATGTCATCCACAAATTAGATCTCTCAGGAATAGCTTAAGTCATCCCCTTAAGAACAGGGAATGTCATCTACTCTGAATAGGGTAATTCATCCATAGACTCATAGATCTCTCTGGAAATTTTAAAGGGTAAGTCAGCTATCTGGAAGAAGGTAAGCTTTCCATTCTGGAATAGAGTAAGTCATCAACTCTGGAAAAGGTTAAGTCATCTACTCTTGAATAGTGTTAGTCTTACATTCTGGAATAAGGTAATTAAGTCATTCACTCTGGAATAGGGTAGGAATAGGGTTTCATCTACAAATTGATATATCTCAGATCTCTGGCAAAAAGTAATTCTTCCATTCTGAAATTGGATTAGTCATCCACTATGGAAAAGGGTGAGCAAGTCATCCACTGTTGGATAAGATAAGTCATTCACTCTGAAATAGGGTAAGTCATTCACTCTGGAATAGTGTAAGTCATTCACTCTTGATTAATTTATCAACTCCGGAATATGGTATTACATGTAATTCATCCACTCTGAAATAGAGTAGGTTATCAATTCTGGAATATAGTAAGTCATCTGCTCTAGAATAGGGTAATTTAAGTCATGCACTTTGGAATAGGGTACATGTAAGTCATCCACTCTGGGTACGTCATCCACAAACTGATAAATTCTAATCACAATTGATACATATACATATATTAACATTAGAGCTGAAACAAAGTTTATAAAGTGCCACTTTTTGCAAGATAATTCAATGTTTGGAAAATTTGCTAATAAAATAAGAATTATTCCATAAGATGCATTTCTTTTTCATATACATGTAATCAGTTTATTTATAGTTATTATATTTATATATGTGTTTATTTATAGATGTGTTAATTAAAAAGCTGACTAGTAATACATGTTTTCTCTTTTCTTTTTCCAGCTGGATTTTAGTAAAGTGAGAAACAGGTAAAGTATGCATACAGGAATGTAATTGTGTTTATTTTAAAATATATCCAAGAGTACTTGTATTGGAAAGAGTTTATATCAAAGAGATAGTCTTGGTCTCTCTATTTGATTGAAGCAGCACTATTCATCCACCCATTACCTCTGTTGATGAAAAAATATATACAGTTATTACATAAAATATTCTAGTAAAGAAATATTTTCCCAAATGTATATGAAATGTTTAATTCACAACTTCTTAGTCATAAAATTATACAATTCCTTCCCTAAGCAATAACATAACTTGTGATATTCTAATATCATATATTACTTTAATTTGATATAATTGCTTAGTGTACCCAGTATAATTATAACATAATTTAATCTAATTTCTTAAGTTAAAAAATCAGAAAAATAAATGAAATACTATACCTTTGAGGTATTTAATCTGACTCATAATTTTTGTAGCCTTAGCTTTTTATTTTAAATCTATATAAGCTCAGTTCAAATATTAATTTAAGCTTATAATTCAAGTAATTTAATCTGTAACCTTGACAATAAAATTGATATTTATGCTTGAAATAATTTTGATGCAAAAGAATTCATTCATTGGGATGTAGAAATCAGTTATTATGTTGCAAGATGGGTGTTAAGATCACATAGGTGGATGTTTGGAGAATTGGATTTAACAAAACCTAGATACACCAGTCATTGAAGATATTATTCCTTAAATATTTTACAAAATTAGACCAATTGTGGGCATTAGCTTTTTGTGTTGTGGTTAGAATAATTATTTTAATAATTATTTCAAGCAAAAGTGTTTCGGAAGTGTGTTATAGTAAACATTTGTGATGAAAAGAACTTTGATGACCACAGTGACTCTTCATACTATTATAGGTATGGAATCTTAAAAAAATGACAGTCCTTCCATTCTCTAGGAATAAAAATTTTGATTAATTTAATTTGTAAATCAGAACTACTCTATTGCAAATTAATGCACATTTCAGTAGTGATGTGACTAAGCAGGCCAATAAAGTTAATTCTGTCATGGTAGCTCATTTGGTAGAGCACTTGCTCTGTGATCATAATTAAGGTTATGGTTTCAGACACCAGCCGCAGCAAACTTAAGTAGATATAAAATAGGTGGCAATCGTTCCTTCACCAAGCACTCAGCACTTCAAAGTGAAAGTTGCAGATCTTTTGGATGAGACTTTAAAAACTGAGGCTCTGTGTCACAAGAGGTTGCTCACTAAAGAACCCTCTCTGCTCAATGGCCATAAGTGCCCAGTAAAGGTCTGAATTCGAAGCCATTCACTGGTATCTGTCGACATCTCATATGAATGATTTAATCTTATAATTAACATAAACCTGCAAATAATCAATCTATTTGAGACTTTACAAAGCTTCCATGAATAACCAAATTGTCACTTTTGTTATCAAAGTTCATCCTCCACAATTATTTTACATTTTTGACCATAAATTCGATCAAAATTTCTTGCATTTATTGACTACTTTGTGCCCTGCCTTCCCCAGCACAATTAATATGGATCACATGTATTTTAATATCAGTCATGGATGGGGTTAATATTCCATATTAATATGAAAATTGAAACATGAAATGTATTGTACATAATCTACTAAGTTTGTTATTGCACATCCTGAACTAGCATAAAATTACATGTACTTTCTGCATTTCACATTTTGGCTTACATGTTTGAGTTAATACATGTACATCCCAGACAAAATTTGATCCTATAGAATATTTATACCCATTCTTTTCATACAATACATGTATTTATCAATCACTTCACGTAAAAAATTCCCTTTTCTCTGGTTTTCAAATTGAAACAACTTTTCAAAATTGTATTTAAAAATTAAAAAAGAAGTCAGTGTACAATGTCAGCCAAAGACACTTTGCTATCCAGAACTGGGAAGCAAGATGCACTGTATACAATGTATGCTTACGAGTCCCTGACGATTGATTCTTCAAGACAAAGAACTGCAATAACTGTGTTGGTTTTTTTTTTCCTTTTTATTTTTGGTGTGGATTTTTTCACTGGACCATTATAGATTGGCCTATGGGTATGAGACATGTTATTGAAGCTATATGTTATCAGCCTTATGTATTTATTTTCACTGTAATATCTAACTCCAGAGATTATACAGTTTTAGTGTAGTTTCTACTCCTCTCAAAAACTCTGTAATGTAGTGGTGACATATACAGTCAAACCTCGTTATCTCGAATTTGATTGGACTGAGAAAAAACTTCAAGATATCTGAGGGTAAAATACTTCTGAATCAGAAATACGTGGTAAGGACATCCCAATCACTTCGACATATCCATGGTATTTGAGAGATCTGTGTTCCAGATACCGAAGTTCAACTGTAATGTCCAAAATACAGCCGTAATATTACCCAGAATATTGATGTTCTGTTGACAACTTAATCCTTTTGCCAGCAGCCATTTTCAGTTATTCTATTTATTCTGGGTTTTGAAATTTAAGTTTCAATCTAACAGTCTGCACATTTGTAGTGTATGTCACTGAAAGTTATGGAGTTTTTAAGAAATCCTTTTAATAAATTTATTTCACAGGTGAAGGGGAAGCAACTCACAGCTTAACAAATCACAGTTATTGCCCTTTGTATATAATCTCTCTAGCAGCTATCCTAGAGAAAAGAGCATTATTGATATTCACCTTTTTTTATGTCTCAGAGTACTGTCCTGTGAAAAATAATGAAGTAGTTGTAAAAATTGTAGTGTCCTGTCCATGTGAAATGTCTCTTTTTTGTGAAAAAAAGAATATATGTGATTAACAATGATTTTAGTTAAAAGTCGGTAATTTAGTGGCTTAAACTTATGTACAGATTTTCTTTGATAATATAGAAGCTTTTTAGATGTGCTAGAAAAATTGGAGGTTATAAGGCTTATTGTATTAAATGGCCACCACATATTTGCATGATATAGATATGAATATACAGGTACCTTTTTTAGTCAATGGAAAACTGCATTTCATGTATTTAAAGTATAAAAAACTAAACTATACTATAATAATTATTTTATAAAGTTACCTATAGGTCAAACATTTATCTTTAAAAAAAAAACCAATACATTAAATTTCACCTAAATTTTAACACAGTTTTCTTGTACAGATAATTCACTTTCAGATATATTTTTCTCACAATTTATTCAAGTTTATGTGCCTTAAACTCTGCAAATATCAAAAGCAAAACAAACCATTTACATTCTGCATCTATGAATCTAATTAACAGAGTGACAGACATGGTAACCACAAAGCTTCTCTCTAAATGTCGGCCATACCTGATCCACCTCAGCATGAGAGGATGTTCCCAGCTTCGCTCCCCTACCTTCATGGCTCTCAGTGAATGTAGGAATTTACAGGACCTCAACCTGTCGGAGTGTAAGGGACTTGATGTAAGTACTGTTACATTTGTAATTTAAAATTTTTTTTGGACCCTATTTTATTTTTGCCCTTTATCATGGTTGGGCAAATGGGGCCAAATGTGAAGAGACAGAGATCAACTTGAGCTTTTATAACACCTAACTGAGAGGGTAATAGCACTTGAGAGGGTGCAGTCTGTTCTAAATATAAATGTACATATCGGCTTCAATATCTCCTTACAGTATGAGATCCTGAGATTTTTTTGTAAGTTAATGTGATTTGAGATATAGATATTTTTCTTTGATTTAGGATGAATCCCTGAAGTTAGTTGTCAAAGGCTGTAAAATTATTCTATATCTCAACCTTTCCCATACCTTTATAACAGATGCCTCCCTGAGGACCATATCCAAGTAAGTATTATGGATACAGACACGTCCCTAAGAACAATTTTTAGGTAAAAGGAATGTAGATACTGACACCTCCCTTAGAACCATTTATAGATAAAAGTACTGTTCTTTTACTACAGTAGATACTGAAATCTTCTTGAAACGTAGATGCTGACACCTCCTGAAAAACTATGTTTAGGTAAGGCCAAAAAAATTAATCAATAGCTTCTCAGGCACCGCCGCATTGGGTAAAAAACGGCCGCATTGTTCAATTTTATTGACATTTTGAAAAGGGAAATAACTCAGTTTTCTATTTTTCCAAGTTGAAGAAGAAAATTGAGTTATTTCCCTTTTCATAACAATAATAGATAGACATTTTTAATAGATAAACAATATTCTTCTAGTCTATACAGTCCTTTATTAATTAACTGTTAAAGAAATGTTTAGAATAACATAATTTAAAGTTGAGTACATTATAATTAGTATATTAAGAGAAAAAAAAAAGTGAGAATCAATTAATATCATCATTTTGTTGAAAAAAAGATACCTTCTTAAAAAAAAAAAAAAAAAAAAAAAAACTGCCTGCCTCATTGAATTTTGTAATTTTTGGCCTGAGAAACTATTATTTATTTTTTTATGGCCTAAAAGTGCCATAGATACTGAAACCTCCTTAAGAACATGTCTAGCTAAAAGCCCTGAAGATACTGACACCTCCCTGAGGGTCATATGACAAAATTCACAAAAATGAAAAATAAGAGAGTGACTAGACACTATCTTAGGTAAAAAGTACCATAAATACTGACACCTCCCTAAGGTTCATATGACAAAATTCATGAGAGAGTGACTAGACACTATCCTAGGTATAAAGCACCACAAATACTGACGCCTCCCAAAGGCCTATATCTAGTTAAAAGTATGCAAACACTGGGACTTTTCCCTAAGTAAAATACTGTAGATACTTACACCTCCCAAAGAACTAGAATAAATAAATACTCACAAAACAACCCATGCAAGATAGAGGAGAATTCAGTTCTGTTAATTTTTAATGCAGTTTAAATGTAGCTTTCAATTTTGCATTTACCTTTCTTATATGCATCTGCCTACCAATTTCAAAATTAGAAGAAAAGTTATCAAGACAAAATGATTACTAAATTTGCAAGCAAATTCAGGGAATTTGTGTCTCCAGCTTAAGATGAAAGAATAAAGGAAGATCTGAAAAGAATGCAAATGGAGAAAAAAGATAGACCTTGACCTTTCAGCTTTTGGCCTTAAAATCAAAAGGGTTCTTTTTTAGTTAAAGAAATTCATGGCTTTAAGTTTCATACAAAAGCTTACAGAGAACTAAAATTATCATCTGAAAACTATGTATGTAATATTATATAAATAGTGCACGTTTTTGAGGGTAACAGTTGAAATTGACACCCCAAGGAAAACCATTGTCAACCGACGCGTCAGCGGAGGTTGACAATGGTTTTCCAAGGGGTGTCAATTTCAACTGTTACCCTCAAAAACGTGCACTATTTATTTTATTATACTGAATGTCTTATTGATTTCGGATATCATACAAAAAATTCGGAGATCGTCGTTAAGTTCACGCTTAGAAAGCTTTCACACTCCCCACTTCTATTTTTTTAATAAGAAAGCTTCGGAAAAGATTTACCAACCTCTTTTTTGTTTGTTTGCTACTCAAAAAGTCCTTTATCATCTAAAGTTTGCACTCGCAAGGATGTTTCGTCTGTCGTTTGTTGTTTTCAAGTAAGCTACATCGGACGCAAGCTTTTATTGACGTCGTTTATTCGACTTCTTTCAAACGCACAACCGACGTTTTGAGAATTCTACGGTGAACCGTACGCGCATCATTCGAACGCATGTGATATTTTCGTAATGTTACCCGTTGTCAAGTGTGTTGCTAACGCTGAGGGTAACATTATGGATTGTTAAATGCCTCTAAACGAATCAGATTTTAGTATTTAACATGAAAGTATAATAAATAAATATATAAACTCTGTATGTAATATATAAATATATAAACTATGTATGTAATATATAAATATATAAACTATGTATGTAATATATAAATATATAAACTATGTATGTAATATATAAATATATAAACTATGTATGTAATATATAAATATATAAACTATGTATGTAATATATAAATATATAAACTATGTATGTAATATATAAATATATAAACTATGTATGTAATATATAAATATATAAACTATGTATGTAATATATAAATATATAAACTATGTATGTAATATATAAATATATAAACTATGTATGTAATATATAAATATATAAACTATGTATGTAATATATAAATATATAAACTATGTATGTAATATATAAATATATAAACTATGTATGTAATATATAAATATATAAACTCTGTATGTAATATATAAATATATAAACTATGTATGTAATATATAAATATATAAACTATGTATGTAATATATAAATATATAAACTATGTATGTAATATATAAATATATAAACTCTGTATGTAATATATAAATATATAAACTATGTATGTAATATATAAATATATAAACTCTGTATGTAATATATAAATATATAAACTATGTATGTAATATATAAATATATAAACTATGTATGTAATATATAAATATATAAACTCTGTATGTAATATATAAATATATAAACTATGTATGTAATATATAAATATATAAACTCTGTATGTAATATATAAATATATAAACTATGTATGTAATATATAAATATATAAACTCTGTATGTAATATATAAATATATAAACTATGTATGTAATATATAAATATATAAACTATGTATGTAATATATAAATATATAAACTCTGTATGTAATATATAAATATATAAACTATGTATGTAATATATAAATATATAAACTCTGTATGTAATATATAAATATATAAACTCTGTATGTAATATATAAATATATAAACTCTGTATGTAATATATAAATATATAAACTATGTATGTAATATATAAATATATAAACTCTGTATGTAATATATAAATATATAAACTCTGTATGTAATATATAAATATATAAACTATGTATGTAATATATAAATATATAAACTCTGTATGTAATATATAAATATATAAACTATGTATGTAATATATAAATATATAAACTCTGTATGTAATATATAAATATATAAACTCTGTATGTAATATATAAATATATAAACTATGTATGTAATATATAAATATATAAACTATGTATGTAATATATAAATATATAAACTATGTATGTAATATATAAATATATAAACTATGTATGTAATATATAAATATATAAACTATGTATGTAATATATAAATATATAAACTATGTATGTAATATATAAATATATAAACTATGTATGTAATATATAAATATATAAACTCTGTATGTAATATATAAATATATAAACTATGTATGTAATATATAAATATATAAACTATGTATGTAATATATAAATATATAAACTCTGTATGTAATATATAAATATATAAACTCTGTATGTAATATATAAATATATAAACTCTGTATGTAATATATAAATATATAAACTATGTATGTAATATATAAATATATAAACTCTGTATGTAATATATAAATATATAAACTCTGTATGTAATATATAAATATATAAACTCTGTATGTAATATATAAATATATAAACTCTGTATGTAATATATAAATATATAAACTCTGTATGTAATATATAAATTTCTGACCTTGGCCTTTGACTTCAAAATCAAAGGAAGTCTTCTTTAAGACATACTGACTAAAGGTATAAAATTCCATGCAAATCTTCAAAGAGAAGTCATCATCAGGAAACCATTTTTACAAGATATGAATTTTTGACTTTGACCCTTTGACCTCAAAATCAATAGGAATCTTCTTTAGGAGAATGAGTATAAAATGGGAGTAATGCTATAAGATTTGATTGAAAAAGCTCAGAGAAACTTAAGTTATCATCTGGAATGATTATCCCTTTTTTTGCAATAATTGAATTTCTGACCTTGACCTTTTGACCTCAAAACCTTTAGAGGTCATCTTGAAGTCACAAAGAGTTATAATAAAAAAATTCATTGAGAAAGCTGAAGAGAACTAATGTTGTCATCTAAAAATCATTTTTCAGTATAGAATTTCTGATTTTGACCTTTGATATTTTGACCTCAAAATCAATAGGAGTTATCTTTAGGTCAGTAGGAGCTATGATATAAATTTTCATTGGAAAAGCTCAAATTTAACTAAAGTTACATGTATTGTCTTGAAACCATTCCTTGCAGCATATGAATGTCTGACCTTGACTTTTGACCTTTTCACCTCAAAATCAATAGGAATCTTCTGTAGGCCATAGGGAGTTGGGATGAAAAATTTCATTGCAAAAGATCAGAGGCTTTTTGAGATATCCTTCAGAAACAAAGTATTACACACAGACAGAATTATGTCAGATTCACAAATGGATGGATGGACAGATAGACTCAAATTAATATCCCCTGGTCCCACTCTCGGTGAAAGTGGGGGACAAAAAGTGTGAATATTTGCCCTTTTGAATAGTAGATTCAAACTTGGTACTCAATATTAACACCGATTAAGTATCTGTCTGCTACAAGTCTAAGCTAATGAATAGGTGATAGCTGTTTTTAAGCATTTTCTTTTTCATGTGTACAGATACTGCCACAATGTCCAGTACATGAGCCTGGCCTACTGTAAGAAGTTCTCAGACAGAGGCCTACAGTATCTGTCAGCAGGAAAATGTAGCAAGAAACTGGAATACCTGGATCTGTCTGGATGTCTCCAGGTAACGAATTTTTCGCAAAGCACTTACTTAAGATTGTTATGAAAAACTGACTCATGGCAGAATTTTGCCTGGAAGAAATAGAAGATTGTGCACCACCCAGATTTAGTTTTTCTTCCTTTGTAAGGATTTCATAGTATGAATTTTATTATAAAGACAAAGTATTTCTTATTTCAGATAACTCCGGATGGTTTTAAGAGTCTTTCACATGGCTGTACAATGCTGCAGACTCTCATTCTGAATGAGTTTCCCACCCTGAATGATGACTGCATGATAGTGAGTTCAGCCTTCATTTAACAGTCAATGTTCTTACAAAATACTGTTGAACTTATGTATCTCACCAATGTCTCAAATACTATGATATGCTGCAGTGAGCTGGAAGTCCCAACCACTTTGTCAATATGCATTTTAACCTCATTATCTAGAATCCTAGGTTATCAAAGTTTTTCCTTGACCCCATTGAGTTGAGATAACAAGGTTTGACTGTATAAGGATTGAAAGCATATTTATTCCTAGTACATGTAATATCGACATTACAATACTTTTGGACCTTGTAGGCAATAGCTGCTAAATGTACAAAGATTAACACTCTGTCTATCCTTGGGTCTCCACTGCTGACGGATGAGACATTCAAACGACTTGCCAACAACAGACACATCAAAAAACTACGAATAGAAGGTACCAAGCTTACTAGTGTAATAGGTTACATAATGAGAATTTAACTGAATTACAGTAGTAAGAGCTTTAGTTTGTCAGGGGCCTCATTTGTGAAAAACTAGTTTTATAGGGCTTTTCAGGAACTTTCTGCACAAAGTTCTATGTTAATGCACAATCTACTCTTACATACAAAAACAATTTTAAGTAGAACAACCCATAGTACACTATTCTAGAAAGTACCTTAAGTTTTTTGTTGTATTTCAGGTAATCAGAGAATATCAGACCTTTCCTTGAAGGCAATAGGTAAAAACTGTACAGACTTAGAACACCTGTACTTGGCAGACTGCCAGAGATTGACGGATGCGTCACTGAAGGCCATCGCAAACTGTTCAAAACTTGTCGTCTGTAACATAGCTGACGTTGTCCAGTAAGAGTCAGATTCTTTGATATATACATGTATAAAAAGAATATTACTCGCATATTACACATAATAAAGAGATGGTAAAAAAAAGACAACCATGTTACTTACTATTCTACTACGGTTATTGCCGAGATCAAAGAAATGCCGCGGACATTATTCTCCAATAAATCACGAACGTCATCAAAAAATTATCAGATCAGAAACACATGTCAAATCTGTACAGTTGAAATAAATATTTCACTGTATAATCTAATACTTATTTAGACCACATCGATGTGTCGTCTTCCGCAGTCTAAACGTGTGTATTGCCTGAAATAGCTGATAAATATCCATTTTTATAGCCAAATGGGGCTGTTCTACGGACCTCCCCACAACATTTACACTCCCGTGATTTTACTGATAAATCAATGAAATAGACAACTGATTTTGTTATTTTCATTCATAAAAATTAATCAATCTATGTTACTAGCAAATTTATAAATAATTAAATGATATTTTTAATCCAACAAAGGTTAAAATCGTCTGCATTTTATGCAATCGATTGACCCTCTGGTGTTAAATGGAACAGCAAAATTGCGACAATTAAAGTGACCTAATTCGTTTCTCTTTAGAGAAAACGATCAACTGTATTTTAGAGCCGTTAGTAGAATAGAAATAAAGTCCTTGTTGTCGTGAATGATGCAGGATAACCTCCTCGGTCTCGAAATGTTGTCTGAAATATAAAAGCCTCGGCTTTTATATTTCAGACAACATTTCTCGACCTCGGAGGTTTTCCTGCAACATTCACGATAACGTGGACTTTATTTCTTAAGTATTCTGAAATTAAAAGATCTCAAATGACAGGGAAAAATTAGCATCAAGGTGGTTTTAATTTATGATATAAAAGGAGATATATGTATGTTGAACTGCATTATAGGTAATTTTTTTTTACTTAGGAGGATATAATATCTGATATTTGCAATCGATTTATTTTCCAGAATAACAAACACAGGAGTACAGAACTTGGCCGAGGGTACATGTGCTGCTTCTCTTAGAGAGCTTAACCTGACCAACTGTATACGAGTGGGAGATATGGCCATGTTTAACATCAGAAAGTAGGTAATCATGATCCTCATACTTAGGCATCTATTAAACATTTGGTTCCAGATCTATATTAAAGAAAAAAAGCAAATTGGTTCAGAAGGAGCTACTGTAAATAACTTTTTATTCATAATGACTTTATTTTCACGTAATCATGTGAGATGGTCTGTTTGCGAAAATTTCATTCTCACATATACCTGTATTTTTATTAGCATAGGATATATATAGCTAGCAATAACTAGCATTTGTGAAAAATTTGACTCACTTATAAATACCATTTAATACCTATCTCATGAAAATAAGGTGTTTCAAAAATTTGATGATCTACAGTACTTTAATTATTAATAAATCACTAAAATTACCCTGTGTTTTCCTCTTGTTTGGTTTTAATGTATTAAAAAAGGATTTTAGATATTTTAAAAACCTTTTTGCCACATTCATTGATCAGCATGAAAGATATGAGGACTCTTTATTTTGTAGCAATTAAGAATTGATGGTACTGACTTGCAACTTTGTTTCTCAGGTTTAAAAATCTGGTGTACCTAAGTGTTTGCTTCTGTGAACACATCAGTGAGAAATCAGGGATAGAACTTCTGGGTCAGTTGCATGCTTTAGTGTCCCTGGATATTTCTGGATGCAACTGTTCTGATGAGGTAAGAATGCTTAAGGTTTATGGCCTACAAATTCTTAATAATGTCTAAGCATACAATTTTTAAATCTTTCAGTCAGTATGAAGTTTTACCAGATAATGTATGATGATAATCCTTGATAAAACAATGCCAATGATATGACATTTTGAACCTGTATTTGTCTTTTAAGGGTTTGTCTTCATTGGGAAAGTACAACAATCACCTAAGGGACGTAACTCTGTCGGAGTGTGCTGACATCACTGATTTAGGGCTGCAGAAATTTACACAACAATGTAAAGATATAGAAAGGCTGGACCTGTCTCACTGCAAGGTAAATAGAAAAATATCTTTTTAAAAAAAATTGTTTCTGCTTTCCATTTTGAATTTGTAGAATATATAAATATATATGATAAAAATATTTAGCAGAGTAGAAGTTTTTAAAAACATTTTGGTTTTAGCTTAAATGCTAAGATGCTTTGTAGGAATTATGTGGAGACACAGTATGAGGAACCTCCTAAATTCCTTTTTGTTAAGAACAAGATCTCAATGAATTCCTTGTAAGTCTGTTGACCTTTTGTTTCAGTTGTTGACAGACGGTGCCATCAAGAACCTGGCCTTCTGTTGTCGGTATCTGACCTCCCTCAACCTAGCAGGCTGTAAACTGGTGAGTGATGTCAAGACAAGATTTACTACACTGTACATCTAAAACGAATCTTATTATTGTGATAGTAAGGTGCTTTTTTATATATTGCTTTGTTACGGTAAGTAAACCATGATTTTTGCTGTCATTCAATATACACCTGTATAGTGAATATCTTTATTGTGGAGAATATGCACACTAGTCTGGAAAGAATAGAAGAATCCAAAAAGAAACCCATTGACTTGCACATAAGAAAAATTCTGTATTGTTGTATATTTTAGATAACAAACCTGAGTATTCAGTACCTGTCAGGTGTTTGTCATCATCTTCACACACTAGACATTAGTGGCTGTATCATCATAACGTAAGTGATGCCATATACCCAAGCTTCCAAATAATCAGTTTGAATCCAAACAAGATCAAGTTTATATTGTTCACTTTAAATATAATTTATTTCTAGTTTCTTTATATGAGGTAAAATGCTGATTCAATGGTAACTAACTGAATCTGTTTTCTATGCCCTAGCCTTGGTGATATGAAAACAATATCACATGAGCTATATCTACTGTATAAAGGAGTAAACATACATGTAAATGCATGCTTTTCCACTTTTCTAACTTTCAGAGATAAGGCTTTGAAATATCTACGCAAAGGCTGCAAAAAGCTGAAGTATCTAACCATGTTATATTGTAAAGGAGTCACTAAGTATGTACTAGTTTATATTTTTTGTTCTTATTTGTCAAAAAAATGCTTGATTTAAATTTATACAAGTTCTTCTCCCTTGTAAAGCATTTCTTTGGTGACTTTTACAGACACGCTGCTATGAAGATGATGAGGCATGTTCCTGCTTTGAAGTACAGCGATGACGAAATCCCAATCTATTATGGATATAAGTGAAGTATGACATTTTATGTGGGCTGTTTGTGTGAAAGGATTTACCTCGACATGTTATTTGCCCATTAATGGGCTGTGTTTGCTGAGAATGGAATAGAGAGATACATGTATAAATCTGACTTTGTTCAAGGCAGAAATAACTTTTTGTCTCAGACTGTGAAAGTGCAGATTGACTTTATCAGGAAAAAACTGTGATTCATTTTACATGCTGTGATATTTTATAATGATTTTGATGAACTTGAGAAACTTATTTCAAGGGAAGTTGAATGTTTATCAAACGCTGCATGATTTTTTTTCTCCATTTTGTAAAGAAATGTTTCCTTTAATTTATAGATATTAAATGGTGCATTAAATATCATCAAACTTAATTTTTAATTTTTTTTAGTTTGCTGAAGTAATTAAGTGCTGGTTTTTCCCACCTTTGACTTGTATATGTAGTGAGGAACACCATTAGAAGGAACTAAATAAAACAATGAATTTCATAGAAAATACGCTGCATGCAATATTTAATATATACTGTACACATACTTGTAATATACAAGTGATAAATAATCCATGTACTTCGTAAAAAATGCAAAAGTTGAAAACAAAACAGTTTGATATTACAGTGCATAAAACCTATCATATGAAACTGAAGTTTACAGATTTGATAATGAGATGACATGTATAACTTCAGTCAATTACTTTCCATTCATTAAGTATAACATGTAACACAGTCTCCTCTTCACCATCTTCATTCCTTGTTGTCAAAGAGGACATCTGGATCCCAGCTGAAGTGGGTACTGTCAAAGTGGGCACCTCATCATTATTTATCTGGGGATTTTGGACAGTGGATATATCATTGTCAGAAGTGGATATTTCATTATTGTCAGATGTGGATGTTGCGGTACTATCCTCTTTCACAGGTTCAGCCCCTCTTTCACCAGTCTCTTTCTTCAAGCCCTGGCTGATGATATCCTCCAGGCTTTCGATCGGAACCCTTTCTAGTTTTCGACTACGGATCTCTATTTCGTCTCCATGTTGTTTGACCTTGTGTTTGTGGAAGGTTCCGTGATCTTTGAATTTTTCCGGACAGTAGAGACATACAAATGGCGTGTCTCCAGTGTGAGAATTCATGTGTTCTTTAAGATACTGAAATCGACTGTATGTTTTACTGCAGATGTTACACATATAATCTTTGAATTTAGAATGGGCTCTCAGGTGCCTTTGTAGTTCAACTGTAAAACAAACAAGAAGTTTTCTATTACTATTACATTGTAACTGCTAAATCATGCATAAATTACATGACATAATATTGAATACCATATTGGAAATGTTGAAGTCCCAACCCTGTTTCCTTTATTTAATCTCAATATCTTGAATCTTGGATATCTTGAATTTTTTCTCAGTTCTGTTAACCTCATTGACTTTGAGATAATGTGGTTTGACTGTACCGTATATACTCGCCTATAAGTAGATTTTTTTTCCTAAACTCTTTATCCGACTTATACACGAGTAATAAAAAGATTAGTATTTTAGCAGGTCACTCCATCTAATCTGAACTTAAAAAATACAACCGACTTATAGGCGGAACAACCTATAGGCGAGTATATACTGTAATCTATCTATATTTGAGATATGGAAGTTCACCTGTGCTACATAGAGATGTGCTATACATGTACAAGGTACTTACTTTTTGTACAAAACGTCATGGTGCAGTCTTCCTCCCCACATTTGAATATCTTCACCTCGTGATGCCGTCGTTTATGGAGCACCAGGTTCATCTTTTGTCTAAACTTACTACCACAGATTTCACACATGTGAGGCTTCACACCCTCATGGATTCTCATGTGTGCTATCAAAGGTCCACTCTGGGAGAAAGCTCTATCACATTGTTTACATCTGTAAACAAAACGGCACTACTGAAACCAATCAGACTCTTTTATGTTCTGAATTTGCATTCAATATTCATGTAGACCTCATAGTCAATTTTCACTAAATTAGAATTTATCTGCTGAATTTCAACTGGCCAAAAATTTATTGAAATGCTATTGCCCTCATCTTCTGAATGCTGTCTTGTTTTTACTGTACATTTGGAATAAGCATGCAATGTTGGTTACTGATTTTATCACTATACACTCAGGATATTTATCGCAGATACACCTAGAGCTATTTATAAGTTGTTCAATGCGCAAATAAGAAGCAAAAACCATTTATGTGAATGTTATTTTACAACACCTTATTATGCAAAATTGATATACTGTATTAAAAAGTGAGATCAAGTTATTGGATTTCTGTTTACTGTTTGATATCAAAAATACAATTAATTTTTAAATGCTGACGGCCTTGCATATTTACATGAAAAAAAGTTTTTGCAAATAAAAAGTAATTTGCAGTATCATGATTATGAAAGATAAATATTTAAAGATAAATATACATGTAAACTTTATAAATCTGTTCATGTTTGAAGAAGGAAAGCATTAACCGAGGCTAAGATTTGGCTTGGCTGGATATTTGGACTGTTGAGATTAGGAAAACACCTACTTGAATGGTTTTTCCCCTGTATGGACCCTCATGTGGACTTTGAGGCTCTTTTTCTCTGTGAATTTGGCATCACAGATATCACAGGTAAATGGCTTGATTCCCTGATGATACTTCTCGTGGCGCTGGAGGTTACCTTTAGTTGTGAATGTGTCTGGACACATGGAGCACTGAAATGGACGTTCTCCCGTGTGTGACCTGGTGTGAACTAAAAATAGAAAGAGAGTGGGGACCAAGTGTGGTTGAAAAATAGAAATGAGTGAGGACCTAGTATGGACTAAAATAGAAAGAGAATTTTATAATTGTTAAAAATAGCTACAGAGGTTTTTGAAAAGTGCTCTAAATGTGTATTAAATATTACAACTGATTTTCTAAATAAAAATAAAAGAGATCTTATGGCATAGATCATCATGATCATAGATACATATGAAATTAACTGAAAAATGAAAAAGAATTTCAAAAATGATTTTTATATGGAAAGCTGCATTTTATTTGTACTCTGCAGAAAGCCTAGAATTTCAAAGAAATATCAAAAATATTAGTTTATCCTACCCTCCAAAGCTCCCTGACTAGACAAAGTCATGCCACACTCTTTACAATCATAGGAGGCCTTTGACAGTTCCTCCTTTGTTCTGCGTTTCCTCCTACACTTCTTTGGAAGTGGAAAGGCTAGAGCATCAAACTCCGGATCGGTAACAGCTTCCTTCTTCTCTTTCCTCTTCCTTTTTTTCCTTCCATTTATCCTTATAAATCCGGTTGTTACCTCCGGATCTTCACCTGGATCTCCTCCCGGATCATAATCCTCCTCATCCACAGTTTCCAAAACTTCATCCGGAACTTTAGAATAACTGTGTCCTTCATACAAAAATCCTTGTTTTTTAATCGATTTCCTCTTCTGTTTTTTCTCTTTCTCTTCTTTTAGTTTTTGTTTTTTGCTTTCCTTCAGTTTTTCCTTTTTAGATTTTGCTACAGGATCAAAATCAGGATCTGTTTGAGTTCTCTTCACTCGCATGTTTTTCTTGTACCTTATTCGTTTCGGCCTTTTATTTTCTTTTTGGTTTTTATCATTAACTGATGTCTCCTCATTTTCTATTAAAATCTCTTGTGAGACAACATCAGATGCTTCGACTGCATCATCATCTTCTTCGACATCACCCTGGGAGCTTACTGTCCTTACACTGCCAGCAGCGATGATCTGCTCGTCCTGGGGAAGAAGGATCACAGGTTTTACCGTCACCTCACTCGACTCTTCGTAATGTAAATGAACACTCTGAACACTGTTAGGATTCGAGATCAGATCAGAGAAATCTAATGTTGATATAGGGGTGAACACTGTTGTGTAAGCATCAGTCAATGTCTGAGCTGCCACCTCAGCTTCATTGTCAGTCATCACAGATTTCCCTGGACTTCCTTTGCTAGAAGTTTTACCATTTTCCTTTTCCCCTGTCTTCTTTTCTGCTTTCTTTTTGACAGAAGCTTTCTTGCTTATTTTCTTTTTATCCCTTGATTTCTTTTTTGATAGACTTGATTTCTTTTCCTTTGTTGAACTGGATCTTTTCTTTGATTTTGTTTCTGGACTCGGCAACACTTTTATTGGTGATATACCTGAGGATGGGAAGAATGGAGTGGGTACTGGCCCCTGCTGATCCACAAGGACATCGGAAGGCGGAATAAAAGGTGTGGCTTCATCGATACAAGACTGGGTAAATAACTTGACTGTCTGAGTTACTATCTGCCAGAATTGCCAAGCCTCTGCTTTATATTGAGGAGGTATGTGTAATAAAAGTTGTATTGCCTCCTCAATCTACAGTATAAAATATAAATTCATATCAGCAATTAAGCTTTATCAAAGTCATTCTAAGCTAAAAGAAAATGGAATTTGAAGTATTTATTTAATTAGTGTATGTACATATACAGAGAGAATACATCCAATTATTGTTAAGATGAAATTGTTTGCTTTGTTTGTAAAAATTGTGATGCAATATTGATAGACTGTACATGTATGTCCATACATGGGAAAATATTAGACCAAAGCACTCAGGACTACTAAGTATTCTGCTAAGTAAAATCTGTGAAGCCAAGGCCTATACATGCCTCCCCTACCCCCCAAATACAAACATAAGGATATAATCAAGTTGCTTTTTTTCTTAAAATCTTGCAGATGCATGACCAGTTTTTAAACTCATTCCTCAAAGCTTAATCATACGGTAATGATTAATTTTAATGAGATTTATTTAAATTAAAAGATTTTGAATTTAACCAGAAAAATGTGACTGCATGTGGAAAAAAATATTGTAAAGTTGCCATGGCTTTTAAAAGAAGCAAATTAATGGCTTATAATTAACAAAAAAAAAACAAGAAGTCTGTGAGCCAATGCTCACTAGTAATATCCCCGCTCTGACGTGTATTGTGAATATATACTATAAGCATGGATAAACAGGAAGTTGACATCGGATTCATACAAAAATAAATCCCACCATATGGCATGCCTAAACAAAGAGTGTGTTAAAATTTCAAGCATCTGCGATGAGTAGTAGCTGAGAAAACTGTGACGAAAATTTGTTATGTATGGTACGGACAGACGCACGGATTAACAGGAAGTTGACATCGGATTCATACAAAAATAGATCCCACCATATGGCATGCCTAAACAAAGAGTGTGTTAAAATTTCAAGCACCTGCAATGAGTAGTTGCTGAGAAAACTGCGACGAAAAATTTATTATGGACAGACAGACAGCTCGACACACAAGGGTAAAACAGTATACCCCCTCTCCTTTGGAGCAGGGGTATAAAAACCTGCACTACCAACCAGACACATCCTAACAGTAAGCGAACCCCAACCGAACCCCGGGTTTGGTCCGGGGAGCTGTCAATCAGGACTACGCATTGACCAATCAGCATGTCGACCAGTCAGGTTGTGTCCAGTCAGTACTGTACCTCCTCCCCACCCCCTAAAACCCTCCTATTCCTGGAAGTTTCTGCATGTTATAACATTATAAACATGGAATGTGACATCTTCAGTAACTCTCCTACTATAGGAACAAACATTTGTAATTTTAAGAAATAACCACAGACATGGAAAACATTATTTTTAAAAAAATTAGTTATTCCAGAGTTGCCTTTTTAAAATGTTGTTATTGTATGCCTTCAGGTCTAGTTATATCAGTATTCTCTTAATATTTTGTGATATTCACATTTGCAAAGGTTTTCCTTTATATAACACTATTTGAGAAATGTGTATCTATATAAACACAGGTTCCTCGTGTCTTTTAAATGTTCGTCGTAATTTCAGTGATGTCATAAACTGATAAAGGGTTGACATGCATTCAATGGATCAAACTTGTGCTGTTGAGTTTTGAAAAATAAAACATTTCATGCATTAAAGATTATCCTCAGGCAAATATATATTTTAAAGAAGTCACAAAATATTAATGTACTAGGTATCATCATTCAAAGTTTAAGGTATCCATAAAGCCCTTCTGGCTTTATGGAATTTGATCACGTGATCAACCCGTATTTATATCCCGACAGATGTTTAAAAATGATACCTTATTTCTTAATTCAACACTGTTCAAGGATTCCAAATAGATATTTATCTGCAAAATTGTAATAAACAGACATAAGGGGAAAAGTGTCAACACCAGTGCTTTTTTATCTTCTTTTCGGAAAGTTCCTACAGTGTATGCTGTCATACATACCTTAGATTTATATGTTACCAGAATATCCTCTGATGTGATGGATATTGTAGCCATATTTCTTTAAATGCCATTAATTTAATATATCCAAATATTTTATTCGGTCAAAATCATTTAGGAAGTAATGTTAGCTCGATAATGTAGAGAACCTGGATATGGATACGAAAAATCCGGAAAGTTTATAGCCTAGAAAATCCCAAGAAAAGAAACTAACAGTAGGAACTGCCCTAGAATCCAACGTTACATAAGGATTAAAAAAAGCGGGGATGGGGTTTCTAAAACAAGCCTTACTTAGAAATTAAATTATTTAGTTATAATATTATCATTTCAACTCTAACTTAGCCCTCCAAAAATTACCAACAAAACATTTGAATATTAGTGTGGTTAAAAACTTGATAAAATAAAATTCGAAGTAATCTCAATAATCAAAGCATTTTATTATCGCTAAACATTACCAAATTGTGCATCAAATTTATGTCCTCTATATATTTTGTTGGATTTAATCTGTTTCTAAATTAAAATTACATCAGAAAAAAATATTGTAATGTTTTTGTCGAAAATAAAACGTGGACAAATTTTATTTATTCATGCACTGCAGTATTTAAACATTGATTTGAATTTCTAAACCCATCCCCCCCCCCCCAATTTTTACTCTCTGCCCGAGATTAGTACATAGCACCTTTTGGCGTTAGACGAATTCAATTTCCAGTCAGAGAACGTTATTATTATACATGTATATATATACTATGGGTTACAAAACCTTAACAAGTGCCTGCCAGAGGGTTTAGGGGCACAACCGAAAAAAAAAATCAAAGAAGGTTATGAGATTTTTTTTTTTCATTTTTGTTTTGTGCGTTTGTTTGTTTTTGTTTTAAATTTTGCACAACCCTAAAGAAAATTTATTGTTTTGTATCGAATAATATAAGGAAAAAATTCTTTTCGGGTGGGGGTGCTTGGTGGGTGGATGTCTGCGCCCCAGCCCCTCCTATCAGCTGCCACTGGCACCTCAACGACATCAATGACAGATAAATAAATTGATGTCGTCAATGTGTAATAACTTTAAATTGAAACGTTCGTGCCAAACACCAAATCCTGCACTGTGAATCAATTCCAACTGCTGTCATAAAAGGTATATTATTTACCTTTTAGGTAATTCGAAAACTTATTCACAATATATTACAAGAAATAAGGGACGGAGGTGTCATGAAAGACAATATATTACCCTTCGAATTGCCCCACAGTTGTTTAACATAGCAACCGAAAAAGAGAGCCAAGGTAGCCAGGATTTCCTACAAAACAGATATCTCAATTTTTGCTTACATGTACATAGATATTTATTTCCTCGCCGAAAGTGCATAGTGAAAAGGCAATTAATACATGATGATGAATATGTTTGCACGAGTTCTATAGAGATATATAATATGCGCTGTACAGAACCAGAAAGAGTACTTTATCAAATGTCACAATAGGGCGATATTGAAACATAGAGACAGGTTATTTGATAATGCAACAGTTACTTTCTCTTCAGTATAAATGAATTCTATGTAAATATCCGTATTTATCATTATATTCTGATGGGTGTTTTGCCAGCCATCGTATTCAATTTACACTGTATATCTCTACATACAATTTTCCGTAAAACTAGTATTTATTAAACTGAATTTTTAGATAACTTCAAAAACAGCGTTTTTTTTTTTTTTAAGTGGGAAGAAAAAAAAAGAAAATGAGAAAAGAAAGTAGGAACCAATCCAACATTTGAACCTTTGGACAATATTTATAATGAAAAGGAGTAAACGAAAAACCAGTAAAATTGGAAGAAGTCTAACTGTGATTATACGGCACTGATTCAGCAAATATATACACAACTTGAAGCTAACTTTAATATAAAATCATTGGTTTACATAAATAAGGAGACTGCACCTGGACATTAGAAACAACAAGATATTGATTATTTTAAAAGATTTCTACAATCTGCAGCACTGCATGTCAACTGATTCGAATGTTTATCTTAGATAACTATAGAGATTCGCTGATAACATTTGGAGGATTTCGATGAGATCTGGTTAAATTTTATTGCTTCTACGTTTGAACACCTCAGATCTGTGGACACTTTGTCGCTAAGGTAAGGATGTTATGCGAGTAGTATAAGCAGCCTAGCTAGGCGGGTCAACTGAGTGCACTTTTGGGCCCTGGGGGATGGGGGGGTCAACTCAGTGCACCCCCGGGGTCAAGGTCAGAGATCTGGAAAAACCTGCACGTGCTCAGCACTCACCTGGAAAAACCTAGCCATTATGACGTCATACACTGTATAAGTATTGCATGTGTCTGACTTGAAGCTCATTCTGTTGTCAGTTCCATCAGCTGTCGACATGGATTCTGCTATGAAAAAACTGTTACATGCCCAGCAACTGATGAGATGGAGAAGACGGGCCAAAGAGTTAGAAAGAATTATTTACAACAATAAACACAGAGAATTAGCGCTCAGAAAAAGAAATGCGAGAATATTAGAGAGAATGCAGAGAGCCCAAGTCCAACAAGAACAACAACAAAGGACTCTGTCGGATGAAGAACCACACTCACCAGCCCATTCACCACCCCAGAAGCCAAAGGCCATTTCCCAATATTATCAAGTGAGACTGAATCAAGCCAAGCATTCCAGAAAATTTAAAGCTAAAGAAGACGTCTACACTGTGAATTTTAAGGAATTTCCAGAGGAGGAAAACAGAGGCTTTGTTCGGCGATTATTTAGAGACATGCTACAAAATGTCAAATATCAACTGCAGTGTAATCCTAACGATTACGTACGCCTGAACATACGCCATCCTTCTCTGGATTCCGACATTTGGTACGAGTTTACGCAATGTAAACATTTAAACGAGGACGTCATTTTAGACAAAATAGAAGCCGTGCAACAATCCAAGAAAGATTTTAAACTGGGAGACGGGGCCATGGAATTCGACATGTTTCGGGTCAAATATCCGGAAGGGAGTGGTGGAGACAAAACCAAACATCTGATGGTGAACAAGGAGAGTTTTAAGAAGAGGAAACAATCCGTCGTTCAGATCGACAATCCTTGGGATCAATTTTGTTTAGCTCGAGCCATCGTAGTCACCCGGTTACACAGTCAAAAACCGGAACATCCAGAGAGTTTAGTTGAATGGGAAAAAAGATGGATACGTATGCGGAAAGGAGATGTAAGAGCTAATGACCAGAAAAACGAAGCTATAGCTCTCATGGAACAAGCCGGGTGTAATATCCATCAGCCTTGTGGACCCGAAGAATGGGGAAAATTACAACAAGTGTTAGCCCCATGCTATCGACTGAAAATATTCCATTTCAAGTCCACCTCCTCTAAACTCAGTTTAGAGCCCCTTTACAAAGGCTACGGAGAGGGAACTTGTTTGAATGTCCTGTTAGACGACCATCATTACGATGCCATCATATCTATGCCTGGTGTGACGGGCAATCAATACTATTGTGATCATTGCGACGTGGGGTACAGGAACATCACAGAGCATCGTACCCAGTGTCCTCACCGATGTTCCTTTTGTTTAACCGACTCGCCCTGCCCTCCAGACGGGAGCCGCATTCAATGTAGCCAGTGCCAGGGATTTTTTCAGAGCAGAACTTGCTACGAAAACCATTTACAACCTCACAGTAAGAATACGGCCACCACCGTATGCAGTTTAATGGGACGATGTGAGCACTGTCACAAATGGATGCCTAAAAAATTACTCCCTCATCATCATTGCGGAGGACAGAAACAATGTAAGATCTGTAAGAAAACCGTAGACACGGATCATCAGTGCTACGTTCAACTCAAGCCCGAGAAAAAGAAAAACAAGGGCAAAGAGACCTTACAGTTCTACATCTATTTCGATTTCGAATGTACGCAGGAAACCGGCATCCACGTCCCTAACCTGTGTGTGGCACACCGCGTATGTCAACATTGCGGTCACTTACCCATAGAAGATCCCTGTCCTCACTGTCGACACATGGGACCCCGTCAACACGTGTTCCGAGGGCCAGAGACCTTAAGACAGTTCATGGACTGGTTATTACAACCCACTACAGGAAATAAGAATTCCGCCTTATTACACGACGAGGCCATCATCATCGCCCACAATTTCAAAGGATACGACGGACAGTTCATTTTAAATTACCTGGTTCATTCCGCCTGCCTGAAACCTACCGTCATCATGAACGGCAGTAAAATCTTATCCATGCAAATCTGCGGACTGAAATTCATCGATTCCTATAATTTTTTACCTTTTGCCCTGTCCAAGATGCCCTCTGCTTTCGGATTCACCGAACTGAAGAAAGGATATTTTCCACACTTTTTTAATACGGAACACAACCAGAATTACGTGGGGCCTTATCCACCGGCAGCTTACTACAATCCCGACGACATGTCTATAAGTGGACGACAGGCTTTTTACCGATGGTACGAACAACAAGCCGGAAAAGTGTTTGACTTCCAGAAGGAATTTTTAGAGTACTGTGTCTCGGACGTCGATATTTTACGACGATGCTGTGCTCAGTTTAGAGCCACCCTCAAGAGCTTGGTCCATGTAGACCCCTTCCAGGAATCCATCACTTTTGCCAGTGCGGCCAATTTAGCCTACCGTCGAGGATTCATGCCCAAAGAGACCATTGCCATCGTTCCCAACCTGGGGTATCAGCCTGCGCGTCGATATTCCGCCAAAGCCTGTCGGTGGTTAAGCTGGATGAGTCACCAGACCGGATCTCACATCCAACATGCTAGAAACGGGGGAGAAGTCAAGATCAGAAGTTATACCGTCGACGGATACCAGGAAGCCACTCGCACCGTCTACGAATTTTACGGATGCTATTGGCACGGATGCCCCACCTGCTATCCTAATTTACAGACCGAAAGTCATCCTCACCGGACCCAATTTACCTATGAACAATTACACGAGGAAACTTTAAGACGGAGTTCTGTTTTAGAGGAAATGGGGTACTCCCTCCGTAGCATCTGGGAGCACGAATTCGATCAACAGGTACAAAGAGAGGTAACTCTACAGAATTATGTACGAGACCTGGACATTCCAGATCCTTTGAACCCCCGAGACGCCCTGTACGGAGGTCGGACCAATGCCACTAAATTATATTGTGAGGAGGGGGACATGAGATACGTGGACGTCTGTTCCTTATACCCTTACGTATTAAAACACAGACCTTTCCCCCTAGGCCATCCTCAGATCATAACAGACCAATTCCAGGACGTGAGAACTTATTTCGGCCTCATTCACTGTCGGGTCCTACCACCCCGAGGCCTCCATCACCCCGTTTTACCTTATCGCACTGGAGGCAAGTTATTGTTTCCCTTATGTCGAACGTGTGCGGAACGACAGGACTCTACCTCTAAACATCGATGTCAACACGCAGACCAGGAACGCAGTCTTACGGGTACCTGGGTGACTACAGAATTACATAAAGCCCTGGACATGGGATATACCCTAGAGCGGATTTACGAAGTTTGGCATTTTTCAGAAAGCAGTCGAGATTTATTCAGATCTTACATCGATACCTTCTTAAAGATCAAACAGGAAGCTTCTGGATTCCCACCTGATTGTCAGACGGAGGAACAGAAACTAGATTACATTCGTAAAGTCTTAGACAGAGAAGGGATCAGGATGGACCTGTTAAGTATAGAAAAAAATCCGGTGCTAAGAACGATAGCCAAACTCTTTTTAAATTGCTTGTGGGGAAAATTCGCTCAACGCCTGTTATTACCTAAAACTCGATACTTGACCGAAGAAGAGGAATTACAACAACTCTTACAAGATTCGACCATTGACATCAAAGGGATAGAACTCTTAGAAAATAAAGAGCAGGCCGAATCGGACATGATGCTGGTCAATTATCAAGAGAAACAGGAATTCGTGGAAGAGTGTCCCTTCGGAAACGTGGTACTGGCCTGTTTCACTACCGCCCATGCCCGATTACACCTCTACGAGACTTTACAACCTTTGGGAGATCGGGTCCTTTATTTCGACACGGACAGTATCATATACCAACATGAGGAGGGACAATTTAATCCTACCCTTGGCAACAGTTTAGGAGAATGGACAGACGAATTAGACGGGGACCACATTATCAAATTCATGTCAGGAGGCCCCAAAAATTATGCTTACCTCACCGCCAAGGGAAAATCCATGTGTAAAGTCAAAGGATTGACTCTCAATTATCGGGCCTCTCAGATCGTGTCACCAGAGACTTTAGAAAAAATGCTCCAGAAAGAAATTGACGAAATCCAAGTCTCGTATCCCTACAAAATACAGAGGACTCGTCAACATGAAGTCAAGACAATACCTTTAGAAAAACAATATAGAATTGTCTATGATAAGAGACAATTGATGGAAGATTATAACACTTTACCTTATGGTTATTAAAAAAAAAAAACAAACTGTATTTTAAATGTTGTTGTTATTTTATGCGGAAAACCCCCAAAAATGAGGGGTTATAAAAAGGGGGGGGGGAAATAATATAACACTTCAGTCATGGCTGGTGTTGATAAGGAGCCAGACTACCTTCCTGTTTACCCTAAATATGCTCTGCTCTTAAAGAGAGAAGCTACCTTTGATGATCGATGGCCCGATTCTTTAAAAGGATTAATACCCGACCTAGCCAAAGCCGGATTTTATTACAGAGGAGTGAGTGATAAGACCATCTGTTTTCATTGTGGTATGACTTTAAACCTCTGGGAACCTACAGACGATCCTTATGCAGAACATGCTTATTGGAACCCTAATTGTCCCTACATCAATACCTATGAAGGACGTGAGTGGGTGATGAATGTATTCATTAACCATTTACTCCGGGCGGGATACAAACCTTCACCTGAAATCAAACCTCTACTAGACCAAACCTCTACAGAGATCCAGGCCACAGGAAAATGTCACATTTGTTTAGAGAGAGAATTACAAATGGCTTTACTCCCTTGCGGACACGTATGTTGCTGTTATTTATGTGCTCCCACCTTCCGGTATTGCCCCATCTGTCGAGCCGATGTGAAGAGAACCCAGCGTATATTTCTGTGTTGAATAAAAAGGATTGAAACCCTATTTTTCTCTTCATTTGTCATCATGCAACCTGAGG